GACAGGTGACGAAAAATGGTGTCTCTACGTGAATTTGAAGTCAAGGAATGGGTTGATTCCGGCTCCTTACTCCTTACTGAAACGAGAAAAACGAAGGAAAATCGCGAAAAGCGGCGGAAAGGCTATTGATCTGAGGGTGGCTGGTTCGACTTCCACCGGTGACAATATTTTTCAAAAATTTTTTGCTAAGATTCTGAAAATGCGTGTCTAGGGGTTATTTTTGACGCTGATCACGAAACACATGTTTTTAGCATAGGTTTCTGCACGGAAAACTAACGAAACGTGAAAACAGCCATTTTTTGACTGTTTTGCCTCTGGCGCCCTTTACTAAAATAGCTGTAAAAACTTTTAGAAAAGAGATATCTCAAAACGGTTTTTACCAATCGATCCGTCTTGAATTCAGCTTTAGGATGAGCTATAAAACGTCAAAATTGGACAAATTACTCTCTCCCAAGTAAGGTACTCTCCCAAAAAATCGGAAAGGACTTTTCCATCAACCCAATCTATAAGCCTCATAGGCCAGCAGTAAATCCAAACCAAGACAAATTCGATTCACAGGGCTTTGTCGGATAAAAGTTACCCAAAACTATATGAACTAAAATGAGGATATAGTGTAACGTGCTTTATCTTCCGTGGAGTCTCAATGTGGTTTATGTCTGCTTCTTTAAAGAAACAAGACTTTATTTAACACCTGAATCACCACGCAAAACACTACGTTCCACGTTAACAACACCACGTACAACAAACCAAGAATAAAAGACTCACTGAGAAATGAATGAAAACAATCACTTAATAAATGAGAACACGAACCACTTGCAAAAGGGAATGCGAAAGAAATAATCACTTGATCAAGAGCAAAAAATGAATCAAGAAGACTCAAATGAAAGAAAAGACCAACGGAATAAGATAGGAAACCTTTTATAGCCTTTTATTTGTGCAAAAGTTACTTAGTCAACGGTTACGTACGTTCCCAAGGGCACGTTATAGAATTTAAAACCTTTAACTGACGTGTGTGAGGGTCGAGAGTTCGATCAAAAACTAACCAAAAAAAATCAAGCTAAAGAGAAGAATGGTAAAATTGAACTAAAAATATTTAATCAAATCAAAATATTTAATCAAATTTTCCTGGACAATGCCTTTTTTTTCGCTTCTATAAATGCTTCCGCTATAGAGACAAAACAAAATTTCGTTTGGTTTGAGAAAATTGAAACAAAGTGAAGAAAGAAATGTTGATCTTTATTCTTTATTTTAAAAAAACTTTATTCTATCGAAATCTATCGAAAGTTTCCTAGTTTTAATGATATCTAGGCTTGTCATTGAGCCAGTTAAATAATCAACTGAAAGAAATTTCCACTGAATACACAAAAGACCAGTCCTTTTGTTGATCAATCGGGAAAATCTCTAGAAGAAATCGGTAAATGGGGGAACTTGATGGCTAATCTAGTTAGATAGGAAAAGTTAGATAGGAAAAGGAATTCGCAAAAACGTAAGATTACAGTAAATCTTCAAAAACACAACTATTAGAATCAAAAAATTCTAATAGAAGAGCCAGCTTTTCTATTAGAATTTTTAGGCTAACAATGACAACAATGGAAATGGACAAAATTAACAATGACAACAATGGAACAACAACAATGGAAAATGGACAAAATTATCGTACTTTTCTAAAGCCGACGCTAAAAAGTGACATCGGAAAGGGATCGGATTCGCTGGTGAATCTCAACTTTGGTCACGTATATACCCTAGCCACTCAAAAACCGTTTTTTTTGTGGGCGTTTCTTTGCGCGTGCGTTGTTGTGTTGATATTTGTGTAAGCACTCCCGCCAATTCTTCTTCTTTTGGTCACTTATGAAGATCGTCTCCGTAAAAGAAATCAAAAAAGAAATCAAAAAAGAAATCGAGCCCTTTGAAGTGTTCACGTTCTTTCCTGAAGTTGAATGACATCATGTGAATTTATCATTCTGCATTCGGTTCCGGAATGCCCACTAATCCGTCTTCTAAACGTACTAACTTATGGCAAAATTGCTGTAACTTTGCCTCTAGATAAAACTACCGTAAATACTGTAATAGTACCCCACCCCCCTCGTACAGTCGGGTAGTCGCAAAAGTTTTTTAGTATTTTTAGTATTTCATTTTTTTCAAAGCGCCCGTACTTTCAAAAAATGGGTCTTTGGTATCAAAAAATAGCTGAAATTCAGGGCTATTTTTTGATACCTAAATGTACATTGTAGCATAAACCAGTGTCGAGAAAAACAAGTTCAAAGCTAGACTACGCAACGCTCCGCACCGTCATTATGGGGGTGGGGTACTATTACACTATTTACGATAGATAAATCTAGAGACACGATTATGGTAATTTGTCAAAAGTTGACATATTTTAGAGAATGAGTGGAGAAGATCTAATTATGAGTACTATGAGCTTTTGTTTAAAGCGTTTTCTAAAAGACGCGCTCCGGGAAAAGTTACCGTATCTTACAGTCATGCACAAAAGTCTTGTAACATCCAGTTTAGCAAATTTCAAAGTGTAATAACTTTTTTGCAAAGAGGCGAATTCCCAAACAGTTTTTGGTTTTCAGTTGTCAAAAACTTCTATTTTTATATGCAAGAAAAACTTTAGTGAAACGATTAACAAAAATTAAGAAAAACAAATAAAAACAAAAAACGGGCCTATTTTTGATGCTCAAAAGTCTTGTAACATTTGAAGTATTTTGCTTTTTTTTTTTGTTTTTGTTTTTATTTTCTTTTTATATAACAAAAAATTATTTTTTTAGATGCCTGGACAATATTTGTCAACTCGGGACAAAGAAACAATTGTGGAAGCGCGAGAGAAAGGAATTCAGAGGAAAGATGTGGCAGCTCTCTTCAAATGCAGTGAAAAAAACGGTATCTGTAATTGTCGGGACGTTCAAAACGACTGGATCTGTTCACCGAGCTTCAAAATCAGGTCGTCCGCCAATTACAACACCCAGAGAGGATAAAGCGCTCGTCAAAGCTCACAAAAATAACAAGGATCTCAATGCGAGCGACGGAGTCGTCATGATGAAGAGTCAATTCGGCAAGGATATATCACGAATGACAGTGAGCCGACGCTTGATTCGTGGTGGGTTGGTGACAAGAAGAGCAGCCAAGAAGCCCTGGATGAATGCCAAGCATCGGAAGATTCGTTTGGAGTTTGCAAAGAAGTATGTCAAAATGATTGGGCAAATGTGATTTTTACTGATGAGTCAAAAGTCAATCTTTTTCGCCCGGATGGCAACCACTTGATCAGAAGACCAATAGGAAAGCGGTACAACATCAGATATGTGCGAGCAATCGTGAAATTTGGCCAAGGATCAATCATGCTTTGGGGTAAGGGCTACTTTCGTAGTGCACACTCTCAACTCTGTCTTTCAGGTGCAATGTCGAGAAATTCACCCGTTCCGCTAGTGCTACTAAACTCAACGCTCAACGCTGAAGGCTACAAATCACTTCTCCAGAATCATCTTCTGCCATTTTCAATTGCAAAAATGGGTCCTGGATGGCTGCTTTATCAGGATAATGCGCCTTGCCACAAGAGTCAATTGCTAATGGGCCGGGTCGTCACTCTCGCAAATGGTGGAAAAGTTCGTCTTCCAGGATGGTTCAAAGCAAATCGTGTTCAACTTATCTCAGCTCCTCCATACAGCCCAGATTTGAACGTCATTGAGCATCTTTGGGCTTTTTTGAAGTCAAAGCTGGAGGGAAAGCGACTCAACTCGAAGATAGAGATTTGGTTCTTCATTCGCCGTACCCAGTCATCCCTGGGAGCCCAAATTCTACGCGATTTAGTTGATTCAATGCCAAAGCGGATCCAGGAAGTCATCAAAGCTAAAGGTGGACCAACGAAGTATTAAAAATTTGGTAATTTCTATGTTTTTTTTCAAATGTTACAAGACTTTTGAGCATCAAAAATAAGCCCGTTTTTTGTTTTTATTTGTTTTTCTTAATTTTTGTTAATCGTTTCACTAAAGTTTTTCTTGCATATAAAAATAGAAGTTTTTGACAACTGAAAACCAAAAACTGTTTGGGAATTCGCCTCTTTGCAAAAAAGTTATTACACTTTGAAATTTGCTAAACTGGATGTTACAAGACTTTTGTGCATGACTGTATACTTGATGCAAAAATAGGTCATTTTACAACCATGAGTTTGGAAACCATAAAAAACGAAAATATTGCTGGATGTAAAAGATTACTACAGACAAGCTACCCTAATTTTTAAAAGTTGCGTCTCTACCAGTTTTTATAAGTGATCATGAATGAGAAAAGCTTCTAGAAAAAAAACATATACTTTAAGATATTCAGTTAAGCGCTTCACTACTAAAAGTGCATTGAAAAAAGGATAAAACCAGTTTTTGGCGCAGAAGACTTGGAGTGAGACGAAAGCTGCCTTTTTTTGCGCACCCGGATATTTGCGCACCTTTTTTTGCGCATTAGCCCATTAGCGCACATTTCGTGTTTTAAAAAAGCTCTAAAAAGCTAATATTAATCAATTTCTCTTCCAAAAGTTGTTTTCTGGGTAATTTTAGAGCGTAGAATCAAAATTTGATATATCAGAGCTCGTGGGAGCAGACGGATGGAGTTATGCATAGGGAAAAATCGACAATTTTCTGGAATTTGATCCACCCGCTTTATCTTTCAAATTGGTTCCACAAGCCCTGAGATATCAAAATTTGGATTCTACACCCGAAAATCACCGAGAAAAACAACTTTTGGGATGGAAATTGATTAATATTAGCTTTTTAGAGCTTTTTAAGACGCGAAAAAAGGTACGCTAATGGGCCGGTTGCGCAAAAAAAGGACGCATTTGTCCCACTCCCAAAAATATTTATCTTTACAAGCGCAATGTTTTATTTTGTAGCTAGCTTCTTAAAATTTTACCTATTATGAGAAGTACTTGTCATTTTTTGCTTTGTTTTCTTTTTATTTCAATGTATCTTAATGCTTCAATCATGCATTTTCCTATTTAGCGGTCCCCTTCTCGAATGTCGCCGAATGAAGTGCTAGCCGGTCTCCTTCCAACGTGTATTTGTGGGGCACAATACGATTCCAGGTACAGGATTTATTTTTATAAAGCTTTTAAAATTTTGGCCCTGTTTCGCTACACTGGCGCTCATAAAAACCATTTTGGCCACTTGTACTTACTTACTTTATATGCTTTGCCAACTTGTACTTGTGTAATGACCATAATTTTTAGACAATCCTCTCCACAAATCCTTTCGTGTGCTCACACCTTCTGTTTGCGGTGTTTGACAAACGAAGAGCAAGCGAAGAAACGCAAATGTCCACTATGCAAGGAGAAGTACAAGAAATTCGCACTCAATGTTGCACTTTTGGGTGAGCAGGGCTCGGCTTTGTTAAATTTTGCTTTTAGAAACGATTGAAAGGATCATTCTGCGACGGGACACGATGGAAAATATCTCAAGGTAGAATTTTGAAGTTTGGGCAAAAGAAAATGGCACTTTAAGCTATGTTACGGCCAAACTTTAGCTTTGCAAACTTAGTAAGCTTTAGATGAGGAAGTCTTTAATAAACTAATTAATGTTTTCCTTTAGACGCTGCGATGACTGTGATCAGCGTTGGCCAATGGCACAAATGAGGCGTTGTCGGAGTTGCGAGGATGCAATCGCGTCAGCGATGGTTTCGGGTCGTCAAGCTTCTCCACAACAAGTCGTTTGCATCGTTTGCCTTCATTGTGCTGTCGATCGACACTCGGGACACAATTTGCCGCAAATCTACGTTCGTGATCGTCATCCTGGTGGGTAAAATACGAGTTAGAGTATAGTTGAAACAATTCAATCCAGTTTTTACTAACAGATTATCTTTGGTTTTCTTGCAAACTATACGCTTCCAGTATTCAGTGTTTGAGCTTGCTTTAGGCAAAGCATGGTTTAAGACTTTGTAACCAATTTGTACTTTTGCGATGGCTTTATGTAAAGCCAAACAATTTTTAGGCAAAGTCAGCCACACTTTTGTTTCTTAAGCAATTAGCATCATAGTTTCTGTTTAGTTCGATCGTTTCCTCCATCGATGGTCACCAACACTCCACAACCGCATTTGCCCAGCACACCGCCACCCGGAGACGGGCAAAAGCGCAGCACTTTTCCCTTCAGGTTTGTTTAAAGAGTTGAGTCACTTCTGTTCCTTTTAGACTCCGCCCAGACAGCTTCACTTACAAGAGAACCCCGCTTGGCGCCGCTCAATTCACTTCGCAATACGATCAACTGACTGTCAGTGAAATGTCCGAGGGATCGAGTCAGAAAACGCATAGCCCTACGTCGTCGGGACACTACTCGAGACGGCCATTGCCACGTAAGTCAAAAGCTGATGTGAAGTTGTTGTCGAATGGAGCCCAACGCTTCATAAAATATCTAAAAATTCTATTTGGCCGCAACTTTACGCTTTAGATTTACTTTATAAAGTTAAAATGGGCTGATTCTTAAATGCATTTCGTACTGCAAACGTCTAAACATCTAAATTAAGTTAATGTGTACTAAATTGTGAGAAGCAAAAGTATTCAAATTTCGCTCTAATCCATTCCTCATTCAGCAATTCCACAATCGGCCGGTTATTTGGGAAACTCGATGCCAACATATTACCTGAATTGAACGAAAGAAAATTAAATGAAAGCAACGATATATTTGTTATTTTTGGTCTATTTCGTTTGGATTGTCTTTTTTTGCTTTTGTCGTTTATGATTGAAATGTTGATCGCTTAGCTTGTATGTGCCGGTTGTATCTGTTATTGATTGATAAATAAATAGTTGATTCGTTTACGGTTTTGGAAACGGAACTATTTGATTCAAAGGATTTATCTAACTGGAAGTAATTTTTGATTGTCTACTTTGTGTGGATTGACACCTTTCCTGTAAAATGTGCAAAAAATACGAACTTTTGTATTAGGCTGTTCTAAGAGTCCTTTCGTTCCTTTTTGTACCTCCGTTTAAAACCAACTACCATAGCCCTAAAATTCCATAGATAAGAGCGGTTTAATTTTTGCAAAAATTTTTAAAAATATTTTAATTTATTATAAAACCAAACAACAACAAAAGTAACAATAATTTAATTAATATTCTCAATTTCTACATCGTCATCATCGTTTATATCCATACAGGAAAAATCGTTTTTGAGATTTTCAACATCACACAATGCTTTTTCAAAGCTATGTATGATAGTGTCAGAAGAGATGGAAAAAAAACTTTCGCTGACCAAAAATGCTGCTTCTTGGTAGCTCATTCTTTTTCTGATTCCGCTTTTTGTATAATGTGCATTGGCTTCGTTTGCCATCCATTTTTCCATCCATCCTTCAATTTGGCCTTAAATGGTTTGTTGATACAGTCATGTGCAAAAGTCTTTTAACACTCAATTTTCTAAAAAGTTACATCGATTTTCTCTGATAAAGTTCATGGCGCTCTTTAAGCTGTCAATAGTTTTAGTTACACAAATATATGTACAATTTATTTATACAAACGCTGTCGCTATACAAAACTTATTCATCGAGAAAAAATATAATTGTCAAAACACCCCTGAAAATCGTGGTGCAAAAGTCTTTTAACACTTAAAAAAATTTTTGCTTATTTTCGTCCGCTTCTTGTTTACTGGTACTAATTTTTTTTTTTTTAGATGCCAGGAGCGTATTTGTCAACTCCGGTTAAAGAAATGATCGTCAAGGCAAGGAAACAAGGGATGCCACGACAAGACGTTGCTCGCCTCTTAGGATGTACGCCCACAACAGTTTCTCTTGTTATGGCATGTTATGGCAAAATGAATGCGTCTGGAAATTTGCACAGAGGTAGGAAAAAGGGACGGCCGATGATTACAACAAAGAATGAAGACTGATAAATGAAACACTGACTGATAACAAAGAATGAAGACAAAAGAATGAAGACAAAAGGAGGACCAACAAAATATTGATTATAGCTTAATTTCGTCTTGTGTTGAAATTTTGCACTTTTGACTTTTGCACCACGATTTTCAGGGGTGTTTTGACAATTATATTTTTTCTCGATGAATAAGTTTTGTATAGCGACATCGTTTGTGTAAATAAATTGTACATATATTTGTGTAACTAAAACTATTGACAGCTTAAAGAGCGCCATGAACTTTATCAGAGAAAATCGATGTAACTTTTTAGAAAATTGAGTGTTAAAAGACTTTTGCACATGACTGTACCTAGGTCTAACGGCTGCAGAATTTTGGTCATACCACCTGGTATTACAGCGATTTTACTGTGTTGTTGGCAGAATTGCTTTACTTCGTCAGTTATATGACAACGAGCAGAGTCGAAAATGAGGAAGGAACCGATCAGGGTCTAAATTGCAATGTTGCCTCTGATTCCATACTTCAGTGATCCATTCTTTCATCAGCTCTTGATTCATCCAACCTTTTTCATTCGTTTTGCTGATGACATTTGCCGGGAATTTGCCTTTTGGCATCAACTTCTTAAAAATGAGCATCGGCTTGAGTTTTTCACCAGCAGCAGTCACACCAAGTACAACTGTAAAATTTGATTTCTCATGACCAGTGGAATCAATTTTTATGTTGTCTCGTCCCTTGACATCCACAGTCTGTACATACATGACATCAAAGGGAACCGGAACTTCATCGACATTTCCTAAGTTGTGACGAGAAATTTTTAAGGCTTCAGCTGCGACAAACTTCTGGAAAGAAGAACATTTTTGCTGATGATCACATGGCAGTGGTTGTCCTACACTTGTTCTTCTTCGTATCGACAATTTTTTTCGTGCCATGAATAAGCTGCACCAACGCGGGGATGCCTTGAACTCGTGGTAACCGTGCTCTTCTGCCAACTTCTTTGCTCTGGTTCTTATCTCATTTATTTTGTCTGCTCTGTTATGGTCTCTCTTTTGAACAATCCAAGTGTAAATTTCCTCCTCAATTTCTTCCACGCTTGGCCTTTTGTAACGCCGGGCTTTTTTTTATTGCTGGCATCTCCTCGAGGATATCCCGATCCGCAACCCATTTTCTAATCATTCCTTCAGTCACATTAAAATGAATAGCTGCAGCTAATGTTCCATGCGCATCCCGGTGCTTCACCGCACCAAGCTTGAAAGCCGCCGTATAAGACTTGCGACGTTGCATGATTTCTACAATAAAAAATATAAAACGTAAGGTTAAAAAACCAAAAAATTAATATCCATAACAAAATTTCAGAAAAAAGTATTTTTTAGCGAAAACCGCTCTTATCTATGGAATTTTAGAGCACCATTTTAGGTAATAAAATTTACTTTCTTATGAGAGAACCCTACTTTTTCACTATTCAGGTAAAATGAGTGCTTATTTTGTTACATCCAAATGAAATATCCCCTCTCTTTGACTCCAATTCTTTTTTATTTCAATACTTTTCAGGAATGTGTTGGGATGCTACGTTCTGATCCAGTAGCGGGTTTATCATCCGCTGAGGCAACAAGAAGGCGGCAATTTCACGGTTTCAACGAATTCGAAGTCAACGATCCGGAGCCAATATGGAAGAAGTACGTTGAACAGGTTAGTTCTTCTGAAAATTTTGCAGTAAATCTGATTCTAGTTTAAAAACCCCCTCATCTTACTTCTCCTCTCCAGCGCTATAGTCTCCATATTGATGAAACAGTTTGACGATGCAATTTCCATAACGGTAAACTATTTAATTTTTTTCAGACAAGCATTGTTTTTGCAGGTTTCCCTTGTCATTGTGGTGACTGTAGGATTCATTCAAGAATATCGCTCGGAAAAGACTCTGGAGCAACTATCCAAACTTGTACCACCAACTTGTCATGTGTACGTTATCTCCTTTCAGCTACTTTATTAATTATTTTATAGATTACGGGATGGAAGAGAGCACGAGATGCTAGCTCGAGAATTGGTACCAGGGGATGTTGTGTTACTCAATGCCGGAGATCGGGTTCCCGCTGATGTTCGATTGATAGAGGTAAACTTGTTACATATTTTATCAGAACAATGTAGTTGAAGGTTCTTACTAAATTTCTCTCCTCTCACCAATCTCAAGTCAATTTAGGCTAATGATCTTCAAATCGACGAGTCGTCTCTTACGGGTGAAACCGAGCCGAAACATAAAGTTACTAATGCAATTCCAAGGTTGCTTTGAATATAGCTTTAGCTTATTAACAGACTTTTAAGACAAAGTAATGGTAGCCATGTCGAACATATGGCTAACGTGGCATTTATGGGGACGTTGGCTTGTTCGGGTCGAGGAAGGGTAAGATTTAAAAAAGGTGCTGATTAAAATCATTTAGGGTCTTGTAATTGCAACGGGATCTAGCTCACACTTTGCCAAACTCTTGGAAATGATTCAAGAACAAGAGGTTTAGCCCGTTTTAAAATTGTACAAAATTTCTTGGTTTAGTCTCCGAAAACACCCCTGCAAAGGTCTATGGATCATCTCGGTAAACAGCTGTCGATCTACTCATTTGGTCAGGAAATTTAGTTTTCATTTTCATCGTAAAATTTTAGGTGTCATTGGCTTGATCTTCGTGATTGGTCTAGTTCAAGGGCGGAACGTTCTCGACATGTTTACGATTGGAGTCAGGTAACTTTGTTTATGCAAACTGGTAAACTGTGTTTTAGTCTTGCTGTTGCCGCGATTCCTGAAGGATTACCAATTGTTGTGGCAGTTACATTGGCTATCGGAGTTATGCGAATGGCAAATCGACGAGCTGTTGTCAAGAAAATGCCGGCCGGTAAAAGAAAACAAAGGAAAAGTCATTGCTAGCTATGGTTTTAGTTGAGACACTTGGATGTGTTACTGTGATTTGCTCAGACAAGACGGGGACACTAACAAAGAACGAAATGACTGCAGTCGTTGTTGTTACAGTAGAAGGAAAACGAGCTGAGGTAAAGTTTTCAATCAAAATTTCTTTTTTTTTTTTTTTTCTTAGCTTCAAAGCTTTAGATTAGAAAGAGAATTTTGAACGAATGGGTTCAGAATAAAACTACTACTTTGCAATTGAATACATTTTAGGTGACGGGTCTTGGGTACAGCCTCGATGGCGGAAATTGCACTTATGAGGGTCTACTCGTGTCTGGTTGGAGCCACCCGGAAATCTCGGCTATCATTGAGGTAGTAAAATGCATAATGTAAACAAGAAACACAAGCGAAAGATACAAAGCACGATTTATTGCCGACAAATTTTGGCTGAGCTTTTGTAGCAAAGTCGACGTTGGTAAATGGAGTACCGGTGCCAGCGTTGAAGATGTCGATTGATTAACCCATGTAGGCGGAAACGTCATTGCTGTGACGGGTGACACCCTGGCTGCCAGCTAAACAAAGTAAATTAGCAGGTCTACGGAAAAGGGTGTAAAATGTAACAAAAATTAAACCACACCTCTGTAGGGAGGGTAGCTGGATCCACTTTGCTGATTGTAGCAACCAGTAGGCATACTCCTCACTAAAGAGAAAAAATAGTGACTCGTAAAAGATACAGGTAACGCATACATTTTTTGAAAGTTTAGACCACAGACGCTAGTAACGCTAAACCTAGAAAAGGCTCAAACAATACAATAAATGAAAGCCTACGTTAAATAAAATTACGAATCGCAAGTAAACGAACAACAAGACCGCAAAACAAACATATCGAGCGTATCCTCCACCGCCTCCTTGATTCTTGTGCATGGTGCTTTTGTCGTATCCTCCAACTCCCACGTATGCCGATTTGTCGCCCATTGATTCGATTATTTGGATGGGATAAATTCTGCTCAAAGTTGCCGCTTTTTATTTGGCAGATAAATGTAAATTTGCCCCTTTTCAGACGAATTTGCGTCACATATGCAAATTTTACTACCTACATACATAGCTCCAAATACAAAGATCCATTAAAGAAATCTGATATTTCAACACCAATTTTCTTCTTTCAGGCTGGAGCTGTTTGCAACAATGCAGCGATAGTGGGTGAAAGTGTAATTGGTCAACCAACTGAAGGAGCGCTTGTGGTTTTAGCCAAAAAGGTGAGTTACTTTTAAAGAGGTTTGTGTTTTGTCAAACAATAGCAAGCTGATTTGTAAGTTTGATTTTAGGCTGGTCTCGAATCTTGTCATCTAGCTTATACTCGCCAAAAGGAGATTGCATTTACGCACGAAAACAAATGGATGGCTGTGCAATGTACCAATCAGCAGGTTTCTAATCTTAATGAAAGGCTCTTTATCACTAAATTTTAGGGTCAAATCATGAATTTTTGCAAAGGAGCAACTGATCGAATCATCGACATTTGTGACTCGTATTTATCAGCAGACGGGCGACGAATTCCGTTGGACCCACAGACAAGGAAAAGAATCAACGATGGAGCTTGTGCTGTTGCTAGTCAAGGCCTTCGGGGTAATTTTCAAGGCGGTAATACTGTAATTCATAAAATTTAGTACTTGGATTGTGCAGGGGTGAAAGTATGCAATCACTTCAACTTCTCGGAATGGTTGGAATGTGGGATCCTCTGCGTCCTGGCGCCACAGAAGCAATCGAAGTATTAAATCAAATAATTTTTTGAACTCTTGCTTGTTCAGGTTGTAAAATCATCAGGAGTCGACGTTAAGCTAATCACAGGAGACAGCCGAGAAACAGCACAAAGCATTGGTGAGTTGTTTTTAATTTGTTTCGAAAATCATTTTTTTTATTGCAGGAGAGCGCCTCGGGATTCATTCAACGTCGGATATGTGCCTTTCCGGACAACAAATTGAACAAATGAGTGACCATGATTTGGAAATGGTGATTCGTCAAGTAAGTTCGCTGTGATTTTGCATCTTCAGCGCTTCTTTTAGGTGACCATAATCTATCAGGCGACTCCGCGACACAAGCTGAAGATTGTGAAGGTACTGCATTACTTTTGTCAGCTAGCTCAAATTGCTTTAGACGCTACAAACATTGGGCGAAGTGGTGGCAATGACCGGTGATGGTGTGAATGATGCAGCTGCCTTGAAGAAAGCTGACATTGGAATAGCAATGGGAATCAGTCAGTTTTTTTTGCAAGATTCTGCGCAGAAATTATCTTTCAAGAAAATAGAAAAATTGAATTCAAGAAAAATAAAAAATAAAAATTTATTAATAGGTATACCTATCTAAACTTATCGTGTCTAGGTGGCACAGATGTTTGCAAAGAAGCGGCCGACATGGTTCTCTGTGATGACGATTTTTCAACTCTTGAGCATGCGATTGAGGAGGGAAAGGGCATTTACCACAACATCACAAACTTTGTTCGCTTCCAGCTATCAACGTGGGATTTTTATAATTTTTCACAAATATAATTTTCAGCTCAGTGGCAGCCCTTTCCCTTATTGCAGTGTCAACGATCTTTCACTTTGAGAACCCTTTGAATGCTATGCAAATTCTTTGGTAAGGAGTTTGTTGCGATATGTTTTTGAGAAGATGTTTGAGACAAATCATTTGATTGATATGTTAGGGTTATTAATTGATAAGTTGTTGTTTATTTCTTCATTTTATTAAAATGAATTTCAGGATCAATATTATCATGGATGGCCCACCAGCACAGAGGTTTTAATTTAAACATTACTTTATTTACAACAAATTTAGTCTCGGCGTTGAACCTGTTGACGCCGACATTATTCGCCAGAAACCCCGGAACACAAAACAGCCAATGTTGAATGGACGTCTGATTGCACATATTCTTTCATCTGCCGCTATCATCGTGCTGGGCACGCTCTGCGTCTTCTATAAAGAGGTTAGGGGGTTTTATTCCGTTAAAGAAGTGTTGCTCTTGATCTAGGCAAAGCTCATAGTATTATTAATTTTTAGATGTCAGCTGACAACAAGATTACTCCGCGGGATACGACGATGACGTTTACGTGTTTTGTGCTTTATGGTACTTTTTTATTCCTTTTTAAAAAATTATGTTTTATGTTTAGATATGTGGAATGCGCTCTCTTGCCGAAGTAGTCGGAAAATGATTTGGGAGATTGGTCTTTTGAGGTTTGTATTTAAACGCTATTTACTTGTTAGCTAGGTCAAATCAGAGTAAATATCTTTTTTTTTCAGAAATCGAATGTTCTGTTTGGCCGTCTCGGGGTCGTTGCTTTGTCAACTAGCAGTCATCTATTGGGCTCCACTTCAACACGTTTTCCAAACTGAAGCACTCTCCGCTTATGGTTGGGTTTTGTTGCACAGAATACTAAAACCGTATTGGTCTTTAAACTAGAATTATTTCATTATACTTTCTTTAGACCTGGTCTTTCTCACCATTCTCACGTCGTCAGTATTTGTATTCAACGAGACAAGGAAATACATCGAACTTCGGCACGGAAGTGAGCTCCCGTCGGCAGGAAAGGGAGATTTTGCTCCTACAGACATCAAGACGACATGATTCGAGTGTTAAGTTTGATTCTCCATTTTAACTGCTCAGTACCCTCGTTTCTCCTAGTTTGTTATGGCCACTCGTCTCAGTTCATTTATGCTCGATCCCCCTTCTATAATCATTGAGTTCTCCATATTACAGGTAGCCACCAAATCCTAAGTTTATGTGCATTTCTCTCCGCATGTTCCCCAAAGCCCTATGCTAATTTATCTTTGATGACCGTTGCTTTATCTACACTTGGCGTAATTTCATAATTGTTGTGATGAAATAAGCAAATTGATAAAGTTCCCATTTGTGCTATTTCCTTGCATTCCATCTAGTTTTATTGTAATAATAAGTGGAATTTCTTTTTAAAATTGTATTTTTACTGGCCCAGTGTTTCTTTCTGAATAGTGACAATTATGTGTGTCCTGTGATCTGTCTTCTCGTTTTTTCTGACTTTTGGTTTATCGAAAGTAAAAAGGTTCTACGCAAATAAATTTTGATTATTTGTTCAGTTTACAACGGGCGAAGAAGCGGATTTTGCAGCGTCCCAAATGTTTCCCTCAGGCAGATGTACATGGTTTAAATTTGAATTTTAACTCCGAAGACAAGAAAACAAACATTTGCTCACCGATTTCTCCAATTAGCCCAAAGTGAAATGTTGTGACATTTGTTGAGAAGCATCTGCAAAAATGTCTCTCCGTTCCGTTCATCCTCTCTTTTCCATCATTCCAACTGTAAAATTTGATTTCTCATGACCAGTGGAAGTACGAAAAGACTTTCTGGACAGCCTAATACTTTGAGGTGTCTAATATCTCTCATTTTGGTTAACGTTAAGACTATCAAAATTCAGAAGTCGCTTTGAAGCACAAAGTTTTCCGAGAAAAATTCCCAATGATACGATTCGCGCAAGTTTGCCTATTTGGTAAGGGTTTTTGAATAATTTCAAGTTGCTAGCGGTAGAAAAGGTCACGATTTTAGGTTTGATGTAAAAGTAGCATTATTACGTTTTCGGCTTGATCACAGCTCGTTCATATTTGCAATATTTAGGTTCTCAATTGGCGCATCTATTCGTCAATTCGTCGATCTTTATTTATGGGTAACCAGTTTTTGTATATTGAGTTGTTTCCTCGTTGTTTAGTGTTCTGATGCTTCTCATTTTTCCTACAATTTTGTTGACCTGTGGAGGCAAAAAGAAGGAGTTTGACGAGAATGTGGAAGAGGATGAAAAGACGGAGAAACCGAGCATTTCGTTGCACACCGCCGAATCATCCACCGGTCAGTTCCAACAGTCAGTTTCGCTATGTAAATTGCCATCGGTCTGGGATCAGGTAGAGTAATACCTTGATCATTTATATTCTTGGATAAAAAAGCTTCTAGTGTGGTTAAATACTATTTACATTTAGAATTCAGCAGTTTCTACATTTTTTAGTACTGCGAACGCAAATTTCTGATGTAGTACACTAAAAGGTGTTAAAATTGAGCATCTGATTGTTAGAAATATTATCTATTTTCTCTAGGAATGCGTGAATGTGAAACTACGTCTTCATCACCGATTACAACAAAGCAAATCGCCGAAATGAAAGCGAGAAGAGGCGAAACGATCTTTTTCTGTCCAACTCCAAACGCGATGAGACAAGTAGAGTAGCTTAATTCGTTGAGAAAAAACAAAATGTTAATCTTGCTTCGAGGTGATAACGTTTGAGATGTGTTAAGACTATGATGTTATTAAGTTGAAGAACAGAATTGACTCTGAATAACTTTCAATAAAGCTTATACTGGCTCAAGGGATCAAAAACCTATTTGATTTGGTTCAATTACATTTCAACTTTGGAATCATTCATAATACAATTGTTTTTAGATTCACAAAGCCTCTCGCCGCATGCCGATCAACAAGACGATGAGCATGAACGATGTGGAAAGAAATGGATGGAAAAATGGGATAACGGAAATGAATGCGAGAAGAATTCTTGAGAAAAGACGACCGATTGAACAGATGAATGCATTGAGCGACAAAAAGGAAAGCAAGAAAGGGGAATTGCTTTTGAGTAAGGTGAGTGGCTGGTTGTTTTTCATAATCCGCTGATGTTTTTGGTAATTTACCCTTTTTTTAGCTCACCGCCAGTCAACTCAACGCGAATTGGATCGTTTAAGGCAAACAAAATTGGATTGTTCTCATCATTTTCTTAATGATTGTACAGTCCGATTAACGCATTCGGATGGTACATTTAATCTTTAACTCTAAGTTTTACTCGATAATTTATTGTTTTTGGGAGGCTGAGAAATAAATTTTGGGTTGAAGGGAATTGTTTTGAATTTTTTGTTTTTGAAGACAAATGGTGTACCTTAGCAGTCAGTTAATATGTTTTCTTGGTTGAAAATTGATACTCTGGTTAATCGGCGATGTATAATTCCGTCCCGAAACTCATCTCTACGGGACGGGACGTCCCGGTCGGGTGGGCATCTCTGATTGAAAGCTTGTTTTCAGCTTTTTACGCCCCACCTACCGTAGTCTTTCTTCGGCTTATAGTTTGTCACTTGGGGATTTGAATAATAGCGTGTAATTGTTGAAGGTGAAAAGAGCGATCGTTTTGTTTTTCTTTTTTTTTATTTCTGGAAATCGATGACTCATTTTTGATAATATTTTTTAAGAATTTCAATTGGGAATTATAGGGAGAAACTTTGTTTATTCCCGGTCTTTTTTTCTCAATTTTAATCAAAATTTCCTTAGTGCTTGCCTGAATTAAATCTTATATTTAGGTGAATGTGAACGTTCTGAACCACCTTCATTGAGCTATATTTTTATACTTTTTTGGCGGACCCAACAATACTCGAAAATGCCCGATGAAACCGTGGTCTTCCAAGGTGGAACGAATGACTCGTTGAAAGTCGGCATCAATTATGGAGAGGAGATTAATCCGGATAAAGTAAGTGATACTAATCACCGTTCTTCATCGGTTAGACGAGTCTATGCACCAGGTTCAGACCTGCTGGTAAACCAACTCTAGGCCAGATATGACTGGTTTGGTCTCTGATAAGCCTGGTCTAAGACTTTTAAGCTAGTAAGCCAAAGCTGGACCCATTTACCCAAGTGGCGCAGTAGTTTTCTGATATTTGACATGTGTTAGATAACAATATGTAGCGTATCTGTAAGCTTATAAATAGAGTGTGTTTTCTCGTGATTAATGCGCTTTTTAAAGCCTGCGCTTCAAGAAGGCAACCTTAGCTATAAAAATCTCTTTAAATGTAAATATAAACTTTTCATTCATCATTTGTAGATGTTTTTTCTCAGTAGTGCGAGGTAGCTGCATCTTTTCTAACATCTTGCTAAGTATTTTTTCGGATTTAGATTTAGACCCGGAGGAAATTCGCGGGATAAATTATTTACAGCCAGTATAATGTCTTAGGTAAATCTTATTTATAATAAAATAAATCGCAAATCGTTTAAATCGCAGCTGTTTTTTGGGCTAGCAGTTAATCTAGAATAAAAGTTATTCAATTGAAAAGAAAGAGTAAAAGAAAGAAGCATAGAGTAAGAAGAACGAACTAATAGTAAGAAGCGTTAAGAAAAACAAGTGAAAAACATTAACGCGTTCCATATATAGTGCGATTCATACGTAAAAGATATTCAGCCCATTTCATTCGCATATGCACCAATTAATACAATTGACTTTTAATCGATTTAAAAATTTATTTGTGCAAATTTATTCAAATTATTTAAACACGAGGAACACACTCTACGTATAAACGAACCGCATTTGCAGGTCTCGTTTTGGGTGTTCATCTTTGCCCTTGTTCTCTTCATGACTCTTATGATCTTTCTCACATACTATTTCTCGCGATGCATCGGACCATTGGTTGCCTTTCTATTAACCAAGTGAGTTCAAGATCCAGTGTCTCAGAAAGGGGTTATTTACAATTTTTTTGAACAATTTTTACTCTCAGATTCCTTCGCTTTATGGGAAATACGGCGACGATCCGGCTCGGTTCGATTTCAATCTCATTTTTAGCTGGGAAATTGATGTTTAGAAGTGCGTACAAAGTCTACTATGAAAATGGATCTAAAAATTGAAAACCGTTTCAGATTTTGTCTACATTTGTGATGATTTCTCGATAAAGATCAACGATGGATGGGTGATTTTCTCGTATTGGTGGCCAATTGCTGGGAGAAGGGTCGATTTTAAGAGGTTTGTGACAAATTTGATTGTCAAACTTGGCTCTGATCTGAACTGGGCCTGAACTGTTTCATGAACTGCTAAATTTAGCAAAAATTAACGTTATGATTATTATCATATTTCGGTTCAAAATACTCAGAAAAAACTTTCTAACAAAAGTGGTAGAGTAAAATTATAAGTCGCGCATTGGAGCTAGAAATTGAACTTTGCTAAATGCTATAATTGGTGTTTTTTTGGTGAAACTGGGCCCTGGATTACTCTCGGTCTTACCTGACCAAACATTACTGCACTATTGTAGGCCAGGACTAGGGTCGGACTTCTGATCATGTCAGGGACAAAGTCCTAGGTAGTTGTCACTTTTGCATTTCTCGCACAACTTGGATCAACGATGTTCAATTTACAGCAACGTTTCCCGTCTTCACATTGCACTCAATGGTCTCCAAGTGAACTGCTACAATACTCTAGGCAGATACAAGGTTTGTCTAGCGTTTATTAACGATCTAGCCTGTAATCATGCGGTTATCGTGCATACTTTCTTTACCGTATATCAAAAGCTCAAAAATAAGCTTTTTTTTAAAATTTTTACCGGGTTTTCGACGTTATTAAGCTTTTTTAGTCTTTAACTATTATTTAAACTCTTTAGAAGTCTTTAAAAAGTTGATTTAAAAAGCTTTAAAAAGCATTTTGCTATACGAGAGTTGACAAATTCGAAAAAAATGAAATTTTTTTGTCTAAAAGCAGCTTTTCTATTGGAGAAAGCTTTTCAATTGAAATAAATACTGTATTTAAAAATTTTCTCTAGGAAATCGCTCGCCTTTTTCGACAAGAGAAGCTTTTTGGGAATGATGTTGGCGTTGATTTGAGAAAACGACAGAAAAATGCAGAAATGTGAGCTAATGTACTTAATTTAAAAAAACCAATCTCATCATTTAGCAACCGAAAAGCCGAAGAGCACTGGGATCGTTTGTGGGCTTTTGTCGGAGTGATTTCGTTGGAGATCTCAGCTGGGAAGTGCACTTTCGGAAATAAGCTTCTACCATACATCTTTGCGCTCTCTTTTGAGAATTTTCAATGTGAGTTGCTCATGCACAAATATTTTAAACGCATTTCTTGGTCATTTCTTGGTCATTTCTTGGTAATTTTCAGCGAAAATCTTCCTCGCTCCATCGACAAACGATCGGGCCGAGTTGCACGTGAATTCAGTGACCGAAAATGTGCAAGCCTCCTTTCATAAAAGTGCTGAATATTCTGGTGAGTTTGAAAGCGGTGCTATTCGATTATACACCCACCATCTCCCGCCCGAAATGGGGAAATGGCGGGTTTATACCGTATTTCTTCGAATAGAAGACCGGGTAAAGAGTATCATCGCGTACTGCTGCGTAGCAGCCCTTTTTAAAATTTCTTTTCTGCATAAAAGCTTTCAATCAAGTGCTATAGAGCTGGAAAATGGCTCAAAAATCTGTTAGCTCATGTGGTATTTTTGAGTCATTTTCCAGCTCTATAGCACTTGATTGAAAGCTTTTATGCAGAAAAGAAATTTTTAAAAGAGCTGCTACGCAGCAGTACGCGATGATACTCTTTACCCGGTCTTCTATTCGAAGAAATACGGTAATTGAAAAATATCTTGAAAGCATTTTGATAACTTATTCAGAAAAAATGAAATTGAAAATATTTAGGCGATCGGGTCGATGAACCACCGCGCACAATGGGCGACGGGTTCTCGGTGGTACAAACGGCGAAATTGGAGATTTTCTATACAATGGACATTTTGGGTGAGTGAGGCAACGGTAGAATGGAAAAATTGGCTTCTTCTAGGAATCGAAACAGCCGATCAGCAATCACTGCACGAGCGACGACCCGTTTGGGAGTCCGTCTGGAGATTTGGACAAAATACGGTAAGTGGGGAAACTTTTAGAGAACTTTTAGAAAACGAGTAAAAGTTAGACATCTAAACAAGATAGGCTAGTGTTTAGGTGTTCTCGTACGGGCCATGGGCTGAGGCGCAACGCTTCAAAATGTACTCGTTTTTCTTCCCGCCGAATTTCCAAACTGCAACCGTTACGGAAATGCCAAAAAGAGGTAAGCAAAGAGTTGAACAACTGAAAGCTACCGTAGATCTAGACTGCCGTAATTCTAGACAAACTACCGTAATCTAGACAGACTACCGTAATTCTAGACAGACTACCGTAAATCTAGACTACGTAAATCTAGACTTTTTTTCATCATTTTTCAATCATTTTTTTCTAAGTGCTGGTTAATGCTAAAAATATCTGTTATATCTCAAAAAATCACCCATTCTCTCTACTTTAATTTGATACCTAAGCACGCAGAAACAAAGGTACTAGTGTCGAGATATGAGCGTTTGTTTGGGAGTAAAAAGACTATGCGACACTTATATAGGAAACCGTTCTATTAGAGTTTTTACGGTATCTAGACAAGAAAACTTTTGTGCAAGCTTGGCTAATCTGAGTCTTTTAGGTGAACCTCGTATCCGAATCATTCATGAGATTCGTGTCGTTTTGCTCAACGTCACCACTATTGACTTATGGTTTCTGCGGGGGGATCAATTGGAAAGCATGCACACACGGTGTAAACCGGGTAGCTCGATGGAGGTGAGTTGCCATAAAAGTCATAAAAATTGATTTTTGATGTTTAAAGATGTTCTAAAGTTTAATTTAATATTCTAAATTCTTTATAAACATTGTAGAAGTAGTCATATTAGTCATATTAGTCATAGGCTACTGTAGCCTCTTGCTATGACACTCAAGTAGCTAGGGTAGCTTACTCAGCTTAGATTACTGTAGCTTACTCAGCTTACTTAGATTACTGTAGCTTACTCAGCTTACTTAGATTACTGTAGCTTACTCAACTTTTCTCTTTCTAGAGCACAATCTGGTGGATCACCCAACCGAATGGATTCTCGTGGACCACGAATCTCTCTTTGCTCAATGTGAGACTTAGATAAAAAGAAAACTAGATAGATTTTGATAAAAAGCATCACTTTTTTGAACTATGTTCATTGTCAGTACAAATTCTACAAATCTAGGTGGAAAGTACAACGTCTCTCATCAATCGCCGCCTTTTACAATGTGAAACCCTGTCGATGGGGTGCGATATCGAGTACCCGAAAGAGTACAACGCGAAACAGACGTGGAAGGTTCGAGTTTCGAAATCTAAGCAAGCTACAGGCTACAGTAACCCTACAGTATCCATAGGTGACTAGGCTACAGTAGCCTTACACTATTGTAGTCCTATAAAGTCTTACTTAGTCCTATTGTAATCCTACTTAGTTCTATGAAGTCCTATTGAGTCCTAATGCAATCCTACTTAGTTCTATGAAGTCCTATTGAGTCCTATTGTAATCCTACTTAGTCCTAATGCAATCCTACTTAGTCCTATGAAGTCCAATTTCTAGGTTCGTCTCGGCCTCTCGAAAGCGACCATGTGGCTTGTCTGGGATCATAAACGCTTTTTCAATGTATGAAATATCACAAAGAATATTCTTCTGCAGATAATTCAGCTATTCTAATAATTCTAACAATTCTAGCAATTCTAGGATCTGATCAACGATTGGATCGGTGATGAACCGTCCGATTTGACCCGTTTTGTCCCGTACACTGTCTCTTTTGATGTCTATGTGCCGGATAATTTTGAGGTGAGATTCTCGAAATTGTAGATGTGTTTGAAGGACTTTAAAGCTCAGTTTTAGAGCTTTAAAAAGTGACCCCAGGAAAGCTACTGTAGTTTGGGAGTTGTTTTTGAAAAGACTTGCCTCATTTCAGATTTTAGATCTAGACAAAGCTAGTCTAGATCAAGCTAGGCAGGTCATCTAATCATCTAGATCATCTAATCATCTAATCATCTAATCATCTAATCATTTAGATCATCAAATCATCTAGATCATCTAGATCTAATCATCTAATCATCTAGCTCATCTAGATCATCTAGATCATCTAGATCATCTAGATCATCTAATCATCTAGATCATCTAGATCATCTAATCGTCTAGAGCATCTAATCGTCTAGAGCTAATCATCTAATCATCTAGATCTAATCATCTAATCATCTAGATCGTCTAATCATCTAGATCATCTAATCAATTTCCATTTTAGGTCATTCTTTGGCTAAATGAGGGTAACTGGGTGGATACTCAAGTTGGCGTTCAACCCGAAGGAGTCGAAGCAGCCATTGTTGGCGAAAAGCTATCGTTTAGTAAGGATTTTTCTGTATTGTCGTACATATTTGAAGCACATACATGTCAGTACATATTTGAAGTTTCAGCTTCAATATTCTAAAGCTTTTTAGCTTGCATAGGAACTAGTAAAATTCATGCTTTATCCCCTTTTTTCATGCCAAACTCAGTTATCTTTTTTTTTAAATTACTAACTTAGGGATCGTTGTTTATTTACTATCTAGCCTATTTTTTAGTAAATTTTTTTGCTGATTCCGAATAGCGTTTTTAAGTAATGAGTTCTAATTTGAATTTAAATGAATTTTCGATTTAAATTCATTTAAAGTCTAAACCTAAGCTTTTGAAGTGTTTCGTTAATTATCTGACTGAGCGAGTGTCAAGCGAACTTACGTCCACCATTGATATGTTGTCGTGGCCAAGTGGTTAGTGCGCTGGCCTTTCAAACTAATCGCTATTTTTTTTGGTCCTAGTTCGAGCCCAACTTAGGTAAAACTTGGGTAAAGCTTTTTGTAAGAAGATTCTTGTTAAAGCATAAACGCGAGTATGAATTTTACTGGTTTCAAGCTTGCATACGTCAGCAATGGAGTGATTTTAGTCAGAAATGGAATGATTTTAGTCAACAATGGCGTGATTTTAGTCAGCAATTGAATGATTTTAGATTTTGTTCTACCATTCATCGATTTTCTCCCGAAAACCATCAAAACCTCGTACTTTTTGAGTGCCGAAAGGGAGTTGGCTGTTAGATTACGGTGAGTTTCATTTTATTTTTATTCATTTTCCTCTTTCATTCACCTATAAACCAATTCGATTCAGATTGCCCAATCAAAGCTCAATGCAACCGATTCTGGCCTCTTTGTTTAACACGTGTAACGCTGATCGTTTAGCAGCTCCATCAACGAAAGGACTTGTCAGCAATGATGTGAGTTTACTTAAAGCATTCGTTTGTTAAGTCTACGGCACTAGAAAAGATCTTAGACTATTGGAATGGCTTTGTTGTAATAGCTTTGTTGTAATAGCTTTGTCGGGGAATGAAGTGATCCACAATAAAATGACTATTAAAGTTACTTTAGTTAGTTATTTTGTTATAGTTACAGCAACTTCTAAAGCCCGGTATTATATTGCTCAAGTATTTCGAGATTTTAGCCCTCCTGGTTCGAGATCTGGCGCACCGAGCGTTTTGAGGCACTCTTCACGCACTGTTTTCATCCAATGCCTGGGAAATTCCCCACCGATCTACCGTATCATGTTGTTGAGGTGGAGTTGGATTGAAATTGCTAACTCAAATCGAAATAATCTTCTAGGAATTCTCTCACAAAGGTCCAACTCATCCAAAAGATTTGCCCACTGATAGCCTCGATGTCGCATTAGAAGTTGAGGGATCAATGGTAAAATTTTAGCCTATAAATAGCCTATAAACAGCCTATAAACTATATCAATGTTAGGTGATGTTGACGGGAATGATCATCAAAATCATCGTCGAACTCAAGAATAACTATTTTGGTTTCTACGATCAACTAACTGATGTGACAACAGCCGACAATGAGGTGCCACAACCGGGCTTATTTGGAAAGGTTGGCAAGTTTTTGACAAGCTTGACACAGGCAAGTTATTGACAAGCTTGATACAGGCAAGCTATTGACCTTGATCGGATCCTGGTCCTGTCCTTTGAAACAATCAAACCTAGCTCTAATCTAGTTCTAATCTAACTCCATCCTAGGTGAACAGTCCACTCGAGTACTATCGACCGATTGACATCACTCTCGCAATTCGGATCCACAATGTACGAGCTCATCTACTCACGCATATGCCAACGAGTGAGATGAGACGACCGAGTAGTGCTCAGGAGATTAGAGGTAGCGAATAGATCTAAAGATCTCGATATATCTTTTCTAGAAGCTTGTCCCACAGTGCTTGCCGAGCAACTCGTCGTTGAGATGAAGAAAAACTTCAATGAAACTATGGTACAGGTAAGTGGAAAGCTTATAATAGAATGAAATTCTCTGTTCCTAGGTCGGCATCGGCACAGCTATCGCTCATTTCAATAAAGGTTTCTTGGCTGAACACGACGGATACGCAACACTATCCGGATTGCAATTTAGAGGTCAAAACTCGATTTCGCTCTACTCATTGTCGCTCATTGTCGCTCATTGTCAACTCTGTTTCCAGGTCACGCAATGTTTTCTCCAATCAATGTACCCTGGGACATGGCAGTGAACGAGTACGCGTGGTTGATGGAAGTGATTGTCGGCGATGTGCAAGCAAGGCTATTACCAGCACATGTAGGAATCAATCTCGAAATTTCTATAGGGTCTCTAATTTCTATATTGCACAGGTTGTGCAATTGGTTCAATTTCTCGACTCGCTTTTCTTGGTGATGTTGTCACCGGATGAGGATTTTCGTTTACCCGATCGTTTCAACATTTGCCAGCATGGGGCACACCCGGAGAGGTGATTTCTATGACAAAAAATGTTTATGTTATCAATTTTAGATGTAAAAACAAGGAAACTCACTTGTGCCCGAGTGAAGAAGCACTCAAATACAGAAATCTTCGTGTCTCACTTGGATCGATTCAAATAGATATTGTTGAACAGAGGACCCTATTAGCGGTATTGATAACTAAAGCTAAGCTAAGTTGAAGCTAAGCTAAGTTAAGCAAAGCTGAAGCTAAGCAAAGCTAAGCTAGGCTATGTTAAACTAAGCTAAAGCTAAGCTAAGCTAAACTAAACTAAACTAAGCTAAGCTAAACTAAGCTAAGTTAAGCTAAGTTGAAACTAAGCTAAGCAAAGCTGAAGCTAAGCTAAGTTAAGCTAAGCTGAAACTAAAGCTAAGCTAAGTTAAGCTAAGTTGAAGCCAAGCTAAGCAAAGCTAAGCTAAGCTGAAGCTGAAGCTGAAGCTAAGCTAAGCTGAAGCTGAAGCTAAGCTAAGCTAAGCTAAGCTTAAGTTAAGCTAAGCTAAACTAAGCTAAGTTGAAGCTGAAGCTAAGCTTTTCTAAAAGTAGTACAGGCCATTGTTTTAGCTTGAAATCGATCCTCTACGCTTCACACTATGCAATGTTCATCAGGGACGATTTGTTGAAACAATTACTGTCAAAGTGCCAAAGGTAAACGATTTTTCTATAGGCTGTCTAGCTGCGGAAGTACTTTGTACTCTTTATACGTTTCCAAACTATTGTAATCTTGCCTAGATCCAAGCCTCAACTCTCATCCACAATGAGGATGCTCAAAATTGGATCGAAGCTGCGAAACTATCTATTGACAATGTAGCGATTGAGATTACGGTAATATATTTTCCATAAAACGTATAGAAAGTTTTTCTTTAGCTGCCTAGAGATCAAAACGATCCCTCTCCAATGGAACAATCGGAGTTTCTTCGAAAGCACGATGCAGCAACAAAAAGGCTTTATTTTCTGCAGAAGTTTGTTTCGATTATGTTTCGATTTCGATTCAATCAAAAAAAAACGGCTTTAATAGGCGGTTCAGATGATGAATTATAATATTATGACTAGAAGAGGCTTCGTTGTAGATACAGGGAAAGATAAATAGGCTACGGAAATACTTTTTGACTGATTTCTGATCTGTTTTCACTCAATCGACAAGATATTTGACTGTCTTAGCTGTCTAAAACTGTCTAGAAAGTGTTTCCATTCCTTTTTTCATACTTCTGTTGAAAAATAACAGCCTAATAGTAGTTCTAAACTCAAAAAAAGAGCTCTTTAGTCAACAAGAATCCAAATTTTTTAGTCTAAATGGGTTTTTTTGAGATTAAGAATTGCATTGTGTACTGGTCAAAGTCAAACTTTAAACCAAATTATTGTTATCGAGCGGTAATCTTTTCCCATTTTCGATCAAAATCCGATTAAAGCATCATTTTGATAGGAAATTTTGAGAAAACAGAGAAATTCGTTACGATTTCAAATAGAATTTGAAAAAATTCTTCAAAATCTCATCAATATCATCGAAAACTGGGGGGTGGGACAAATGCGACCTTTTTTTTGCGCACCTGGACATTTGCGCACCTTTTTTTGCTGGAAAAGGCCGTAGAGCTTCAAAAACGTTTTCATGGAAGGGAATCGTATGCGTAGATTCCGAATTTCGACAAATCAGACCTCGCTGACACGTCAAATTTGGGCTAAAAGGCACAAACTACGCAACTTAACGCTTTTCCGCAGTTTTTGCCTTTTAGCCCAAATTTGACGTGTCAGCGAGGTCTGATTTGTCGAAATTCGGAATCTACGCATACGATTCCCTTATATGGAAATATTTTCGAAGCTCTACGGCCTTGCCTAAGGCCTTTTCCAGCAAAAAAAAGGTGCGCAAATGTCCAGTTGCGCAAAAAAAGGTCGCATTTGTCCCAACCCCTCAAAGTCTCATCAATATGATCGAAAACTGTGATTATTTGACAGTAAATAGATCTCTTTTAATTTTGCTTTGACTTTTTGGACCAAATTAAGACCAAATTAAGACCAAAATGAGACCAAATTAAGATCAAATTAAGATCAAATTAAGATCAAATTAAGACCAAATCAGAGTACAAGTCAAGAAACCTAGCTCAGAATAAAGAAACCTAGCTCAGAACCAGACAAGGCCTGAAAACTTTTTCGCTTTTCTTTAATCTATAAAATTTGATCACCTTTCAGCTCTACAAACGAATGTACATGCTCTGGAGGCACTCGTTTCTTTGCCGAACTGGACAAAGTGTATGCTTTTAGACTTTTAAAGACTTTAAAGAAAGACTTTTAAAGAGATTTTGATAGATTCGATAAATTTTCCATATTTTTAGCGGGAAAACCTTTTGGGAACATGAAAATTTGGAGATTATGACGCAGAAAATCAATCCATTTGGACAACAACCGGGTTTTTTGCAATCGATTTTACAAGAGAGTCAATCGTGAGTGATTTTTTTCTTGTACTAGTGCTGCAATTTGCAATCAAATATTTGTATTTGATTAAGTAGTGTACAATCCAATCACTACAGTACATCGCTAGATAAGTACAGTATCTAGATATTGTACTCTAGATATTGTACTCTAGATATTGTACTCTAGATATTGTACTCTAGATATTGTACTCTAGATATTGTACTCTAGATACTGTACCCTAGATATTGTACTCTAGATATTGTACTCTAGATATTGTACTCTAGATATTGTACTCTAGATATTGTACTCTAGATATTGTACTCTAGATATTGTACTCTAGATATTGTACTCTAGATATTGTACTCTAGATACTGTACTCTAGATATCTAGCGGTGTACTGTGGCGGATTTTCTTAAAATCTAGATTTTAGCATGATTCTCATCAATTCACCTCATCTCGCCTACACACGTCGCCATGTGGCAATCGATTTACACAGAAAGAACAGTTTTGAGGTGGAGAATTCTTTGAAATTTGCAAATTTCCTTTCTGCTCAGTTACCTTTAAAGCTTTTATCATAAAATTTTGAAAATTTTTCAACTTTCAAAGCTTTTCAGACGGGCGAATACAAGTCAGAGTTTGGCTCAACCCTCTCATTTTACTCGGCTTTCTCGGAAAATGAGGTACAATTGGATAATTGGATAATTGGATAGGATTTGATAGAATAGGATTTGTTGAAGATTTGTTTAGATTTGTTTAGATTTGTTTAAAGATTTGTTTAAAGTGTTTAGATTTGATTGTCCAGTTATGAATGCGCGTTTTTACTATTTTGTAAATTTCTCAAGATACCGAAATCAAAAAAAAAAGATATATATGAGTATTATTCGAAAGCTGAAGATCTCCTCTACATTTTGATATAAAAAGTTTTTGAATTTGTTCATTCATAACTGGGCAACCCAATATCTATTGGGTTGGTGAATTGAAAACTGCGGGACTTTGAACTAAAATTTATTCAACAGAAAAACCATCAATTAATTCCAAATAATTTTCATTATTATTGCCCGACTTCTGCCCATTTTACAGGCAATTTTGCGGATTCCTCTTTTGTAGTAGGGCTTTGGTTTGTGTGTGAGACAAGTGTGAGACTCAAAAATGGAAGACTGGAGACTGGAGAAGGACTCTCAGTTTGAGCACTTTCTTCAAAAGAAACCCATTTTGGTGTCAATAGAAAAGTTGTAGAGAATCAAAAATTAGGCTTATAGCCAAATTTCCAAAAAGATACACTTAGTAGTTTCGCTTAAAATGCAAGTTTTGTGAAAACTCATAATCGAAAATCGAAAATTTGACATTTCTTGAAAACCAGTTTTCGAATCGTTCTGAAAATTTGGATATAAGCTTGATTTTTGATTCTCTACAACTTTTCCATTGACACCAAAATGGGTTTCTTTTGAAGAAAGTCCTCAAACTGTCACATATGGCAATAGCCGGCGGTTTTCAATTCACCAACCCAATAGAATCCTAACTCTACAGTATGCTTACGTAGCTATAGTTCTTTGTAAAGTTCTATGGCAATAGTCCGCAGTTTTCAATTCACCAATCCAATATTTACGGTAACCATAAGATTAACAATAAAATTTTAGGAAACTCATTTCGGAAAATCGCTATTAAACTCGGCTGAAACGATCAAAGCATATGCACGCTTTTTGGACAAATATGAATTGGAGAAATTCGGTGAGTGGCTATAGATCAACCGTAACTACAGTAAGACCAGCTATAGTAAGTGACTATAGAAAGACCTTGACATCTAGTACCTTTACAACTTTACAGTACGCTGCAATCTCCATTGCTATTCTCTTTGCAGATACCGCCAACCCACCGCAATTTTGCTCAAAATTTGGCACACTTGACGAGTGGAGAAAACAGCGAAAAATTGAGAAGAGAAAGGTTTTTTTTTTGCTTACCTTTTTTTCTCTAATAGTAGTGCACTCTAAGCTTCGCGTAAATTCATTGAAATCTCGAAAACCGCTTATCAGAACCTATCGATTTGAGGTCGAAAAATGTAGCTGACGATGAGATCTTGTGGGGGATTTGAGTGTTGAGGTTCTGTGAAAAATTGGAAATCGTAAAATAGTCATCAACTCGGTGAGGTGGGGTGCACTAGGCTCAGACTTAGGCTTAGGCTCAGGCTCAGGCTCAGGTTTAGCCTCAGACTTAGCCTCAGCCTCGAAACTACTAATCAGACCAAGATCTTCAATTGACCGAGAATACGGTAAATTGTGAGGTGCTCAACTCAGTGAGGTGCGCTACATCAACTCGGTGCCACTACTATTAGGGAAAATAATACAAATTCGGTGATCTAGGCTTTATTTCGATAGATTTCGATAAGTCGAAATCTTTATTAAACATTCAGCTTAACGATGGAATCAGTGAGTTACACTTGCGTTCATTGGACAATCGGATGGAAAATTTCGAGAGAAAGAACTCGGCAATCGATCAAAGACACAATTTGGGCATTTGTGGGAAATTTGGGGATGAGGCAAAGGTGAGAGGTTTTGAGATTTTTGGATTTTTAGATTTCTGGATTTCTGGATTTCTGGATTTCTAAATTTCTGGATTTCTGGATTTCTGGGTTTCTGGATTTCAAGATTTCTAGATTTCTAGATCTCTGTATTTCTGGATTTCTAGATTTCTAGATTTCTAGATTTCTGGATTTCTGGATTTCTGGATTTCTAGATTTCTAGATTTCTGGATTTCTGGATTTCTGGGTTTCTGGATTTCAAGATTTCTAGATTTCTAGATTTCTAGATTTCTGGATTTCAAGATTTCTGGATTTCTAGATTTCTGGATTTCTGGATTTTTAGATTTCTAGATTTCTGGATTTCTGGATTTCAAGATTTCTGGATTTCTGGATTTATGTATTTCTGGATTTTAAAGTCTGGTCTCTTTTCCAGCTCCTACTCACTCCACTAGGTCTGGAGGCGTTGGATAAGCTGTTGCTAAGCGTGTCGAGAAGTTTGACCAACCTTCATCCAGCTTACTTGGCTCAGGTTTGACGAAATGCTTCGATTGAATTCTTCTCTAAGCAGAACTCAAAGCTCTACCATCCTTTGTTTCGATTTCAGTGCCTCTATCGACAGTGCACTTTCGCAAAACATCGTCAACCACTCACCGCGACACTCTTTGCGGATAAAAGTGATCGGACATTGATTTTAGCGAACTTTACGGTAAAAAGCTTTGATCAATGATTTTGCTCAATTTGCTCAATAACAATTTTACTATTGTACTTCTTAATCTACAAATCTTGTAGATTCCAACGATTCATTTGTGTCTTTTCTCTTGTAACTCAAGCGAGACATCAAACACGGCAAGTGTTCTTCTTGTTCGAGTTGATTCGGGGCAATTCCACACGAATACCATCCGAGATTCGAATGGTCAAACGTTAAAGGTAAAAAGGAGTACTGTTTACATATTTGAAAAAAAAGATCGTCACCTTCGCGCGTCTCTAACTCCATTGTCTTTGAGTTTAAACTATTAGTGTTCTACATTTTTGTTAAAGCTCTTTTCAAGGGCTACACAATGGTAAGATTAATATTTAGAAATATGGTAAAGACAAGGGAGTTACAGACGCGCGAAAGTGCGAAAGAGTTTTTCAAATATCATATTTCATTGTCCAGTAGTGTAGCTATAAAGCCTAACACTCTTGTACCTACAACCTTGCTCCATAGGTCAATCGGCTAGGTCAATTGGCTAGGTCAATTGGCTAGGTCAATTGGCTAGGTCAATTGGCTAGGTCAATTGGCTAGGTCAATCGGCTAGGTCAATCGGCTAAGTCAATCGACAGCGGTGTTCAACCTATCAAGGCCAAATAAACCAAACCAAGGTGAGCCTAGTGATCCAGCTTAGTCAGCCTAGTTATCTAGCTTCTCAGGGCTCGTTCGGTGGTCTGTGTCGTAGATTTTGAGATTCTATGAGGTTATTTTGATCACAAATCTAACTCTGAGTTGATCGACCGAGATTGATTCATCGCTTTGACCTCAAAAAAAAGAAATCTATCTTCTTGTCAATAGAAATAGTTGTAAGAAATATATTTCTACTTTGATCTTTATAATTTCTTGGGAGACCGTGTGATTCAATGGTACAGTACTGGACAATGAAATATGATATTTGAAAAAACGATCGTCACTTTTGCGCGTCTCTAACTCCCTTGTCTTTGAGTTTAAACTATTAGTGTTATACATTTTCTTAAAGCTCTTTTCAAGGGCTACACAATGATAAGATTAATATTTAGAAATATGGTAAAGATAAGGGAGTTACAGACGCGCGAAAGTGACGATCTTTTTTCAAATATCATATTTCATTGTCCAGTAGTGTAGTACCGTATCTTTTGATTTTTAGCTCTCGTACAAACGCCAGGGTGAACTTGCTGCTCAATATCTGCGCTTTTTTGATCGAAATACACTCGATTTCTTGACGCAAAGGTAGTGCACTAGAAGAGAAGTGTTTTGATGTGAAAAGATGAGCACAAAGTGCGCTGAGTAAGTAAATAATTGATTATTTTAGACTCCAGTCAAAGAGCACAACGAATTGGGCGACTTGTCGACTAGCAAAGGAGATGTACAATTTGGATTTAAGGGTAGGATGATGGAATATCGTACTCAGGAAGTTACAGTACTTCTCTAAAGTTAACTGTCATACCCTATGAAAAGCTACTGTACTTACAAAGAGTTACCGTACTTACAAGGAGTTACAATAAACATAAGACTAATATTCTAATATGGTTGTAGTATTCTACAGGATTCTACAGGATTCTACAGGATTCTACAGGATTCTACAGGATTCTAAAGGATTCTACAGGATTCTACAGGATTCTAAAGGATTCTAAAGGATTCTACAGGATCCTACAGGATTCTAAAGGATTCTAAAGGATTCTAAAGGATTCTTGACAAACTACTGTACTCTGGAAGTTACAGTACTCCTAGAAAGCTACGATTATATACTATGAAAGCAATTCTACTATTGTATTAGATAGTTAAAAAGATAGACTAATCTTAAGACCTTAAAGTACTCCGAAAAAGTACAAACAACAAATTACAAAGCAAAATTACAAGCCAAAATTACGGTAGTTTGAAAAGGGATACAGTTAACCCCTTCTGGAGTAAAATACAAAGAGTTCCAGTGCGTTTTGGTATAATGGTTAGCACAGTTGCTTGGTAAGCGAAAGGTCGCTGGGTTCGAGTCCAGCACGAGTTTTGATCTAGTTTTGATAGGTTTTGATCTAGTTTCGATCTGGTTTTGATCTGGTTTTGATCTGGTTTTGATCTGGTTTCGATCTAGTTTCGATCTAGTTTCAACTTTCAACGTTTAGCCTCTCATCAATATCAGCGCCGCATTCTTGGAGGTAATTGGAGAGATTCCAATGTGTGCATCGAATGTTGAAATGTCTCAAACAAAAACTCTTCTTAATCATGGATCAATTGATGTGGTAGGGGGAAGCTTTCTTAATCTGAATAGAGAACAAGTGAAAGCAAGGATCAATTGATCCATGAATCTAGCAACAGGATTGAACTCGTGAGCTTTCGATTAAGCTACAGAGCTCTCGATTAAGCTACAGAGCTCTCGATTAAGCTACAGAGCTCTCGATTAAGCTACAGAGCTCTTAGAGAGCCAATCATGGATCAATTGATGTGGTAGGGAAGCTAATCTGAATAGAGAACAAGTGAAAGCAAATCTGAATAGAGAACAGTCATAGTTGACTGGCTTGTATCTTAATCGAGAGCTCTCTAGCTTAATCGAGAGCTCTCTAGCTTAATCGAGAGCTCTCTAGCTTAATCGAGAGCTCTCTAGCTTAATCGAGAGCTCTGTAGCTTAATCGAGAGCTCTGTAGCTTAATTGAAAGCTCAAGAGTTCAATCCCGTTGCTAGATTCGTTCTTATTCCTTCTTATTCCTTCTTTTTTCAGATGTTCATCATGGCTCGTCCTCTTGAAATGACTGGTCGAAATGAGTTCCCGATTTTTGAAGCTATTTCTCCAACTGTTTCTATGTGGTTCTCCTCAGTGACGAGAATAGCGAAAACTATGAAAAAGGTGATCTAGATCTAGATCTAGGCGATAGAACTAGACGTATCTATCGAATCAGTTGAGCTAGTTTCAATTCTTCAACCATTTAGGCAATCAATCGATTCGAGATCAACGGTGACATCAAATTGTTAGAGCTTCTCTCAACGGCACTCGACGATCCGAATGTTCTTCGACCCACCAAATCATGTATGAGCAGTGTGAAGAAATTCCATAAGAATTTCTCGAGTTGCCCGAGTTGTCAAGTGATTCAAGCGTTGCTACGGTGAGCGTAAAGTTGTTGGAGTCGTGAAATGTGAACGGCTTTTCTTTTCAGCTACACAGCGAATCCATCAACTCGCTATTCGCCTTTGCCCAGCAATTTCCCCGAACTTCACGAGGAAACGAATCGCAAAGCGGCCATCCGGGCACTCCTCTCGCATTGGCAGACTGTCATTTGTAAATATATCAAGGTGAGACCGGATTCTAGTATTTCAAGATTGATACGCTTCTCAAGGTTGCCTCAAATCAAGAAGCCCTGAAGTACGTGGGACGACTCGATGACGGGAAAGAGACGGAAACGCTCAAAAATGAGATTATCAACAAACAGGTGAACACCCTGAAGAACCCGGAAAATGGTACATAGTACTGGCGCGTACGCGTACATGATGCGCCTAAGCCCAAGCCAACGTACTGGCTTGGTGTACATGGTGCCAGTACGTACCTGTACTATGTACAGGTACGTACTGGCACCATGTACATAGTACTGGTAAGTACTGGCATCATATACATAGTACATAGTAGTAGTGCTGTGGTGTACATAGTACTGATACGTACTGCTGTGGTGTACATGGTACTGATACGTACTGCTGTGGTGTACATGGTACTGATAAGTACTGGTGTACTGTACATAGTACTGATAAGTACTGGTGTACTGTACATAGTACTGATACGTACTGTACATAGTACTGATAAGTACTGGTGTACTGTACATAGTACTGATACGTACTGCTGTGGTGTGCACGGTACTGATAAGTACTGGTGTACTGTACATAGTACTAGTAAGTACTGGTGTACTGTTCATGGTATTGATGCGAACTGTACATAGTACTGGTGCGTACTGTACATAGTATTGGTACGTACTGGTATACGTACATAGTGCTGGTACGTACTGAACATACTGTTGATACGCACTGACGCACTGTACATAGACTGGTACTTGCTGGTGAGTACTATGTACAGTGCGTACGGCTCATTACGTACCAGTACTATGTACCACTGGTACGTACGGAACATCTGTACTACTGTACTACTGTACAGATCTACTGTACATATAGGAACTTTTAGAAAAACGGCAGCTATAATGAGCGCAATTTAGGACTCACCGTACCTCCGAAAATTACGTCAACCAATCGTCGATGAGATCGATGAAGTGATTGGGGAAAATGAGGAGAAAAATGATGAAGAGCCACCGCCGAAAATGGATTTATACCAATATGTGAAACGGCATCGAGAGCTGAGAAAAGAGGAAAGGAAACGCGAGATCAGTTTCGGTGATAAAGAGGCGAATTTGATGGAGATATCGCTGCTCGCTTTCTTCTACAGTTTGCACAAGGTTTGGATTCGATTTTATACTTGGATTAATAGGCTAGTTGAAAAGCTAGAACAGAAGGAACAGAAGGAATAGAAGGGAGAGAAGGAACAGAAGGAACAGAAGTGACAGAAGGAACAGAAGGGACAGAAGGGACAGAAGGGACAGAAGGAACAGAAGGAATAGAAGGGAGAGGAGGAACAGAAGGAACAGAAGGAACAGAAGGGCGTGAGTTCAAGGCTGGCTTCTGGTTTAGCTTGATTGATAGACGATTGACAGACGATTCTAGGATACTTTTGACGAAAAGATCAAGCCTAATTAAATGTCGAATTTCTAGAACTGTCACCTCGACTATTCATTCGAAGTTCTTCCCCTTTCAAATGGGAATTTCAATCTTGAGATTCATCTTGATGATGTTTCGATAAATGTGACCGAACATCGATGTGCATCCACATCGGATTTACGTCAATTCTTCTCACATTCAACTCATCAATTGTTTCATTTAAAGCGAATGGACACGATTGGAAAGGTAATGTTACTTTAAGCTTAAGTTTTGTTTAAAAATAAAACCTCCTACCGTAAATACTGTAATTGGGCCCCACACCCATAATGACGGCCGGAGCATCGCGTAGTCTAGCTTTGAACGAGTTTTTCTCGACACTGGTTTATGCTACAATGCTCGCTTAGGTATCAAAAAATAGCCCTGAATTTCAGCTATTTTTTGATACCTAAGCGAGCATTATCGCATAAACCAGTGTCGAGAAAAACTCGTTCAAAGCTAGACTACACAACACTCCGCATCGTCATTATGGTATTGGCGGTAGCATAATTCTAGCATCAATTTCTAGATGAACTATCGAAAAGAAATGGATCAACGTCGTTTACGGCCGTTAATTGCAAGAATTGATTTGGAACATGCGTGCGAATTGGAAAGTATTCGATGTGTGGTGGCGATCTCATCGGTTTGCTTGATTAAGGTGAGGAGTTTTGCTAATTAGAGCTCGACGGAGAATCTGAACGATTTAAAAATGACTTCTAATGAATGATTCGAATGATAATCTGCTGCTGTGCTTATTTTCTTTTGCTTAAACATATCGAAACATCGAAATTTATCGAAAAACTGTCTATTTTATTTCTTTTTTTAATTAAAATTTAAAGCTTTAAAAGATACTTTTATTCAACATGAATAAGTGGATACAATTACATACAATTACAAAAAGAGGACACAATTATTTTCACCCCTACAATTTATTAGGTTGATGCAAAAGTCTTTTTCATTTTTTTCGTACTTCTTTTGAAAAATAAAAAGTCATCAATTAACCTATGGTTTACTCTAAATGAAAAGTGTTTATTGTTGAATTTCCCATCTTTTTAAGTCAATTTGGATTCACTTTCAAGCAAAATTCGAGAGTGAAAACGGGCTTTTCATAAAAATCTATAAAAACCTCTAGAAAGAAATTGGCTGAATCAATTTCTCTGAAAATCTGAAAAAATATCGAACTTTTTGTGCTCTATCTTTTATTTATTAACATCAAGATTGGTTTCCTTAGCTAAAGCCTCTAAAATGCATCATCGAGCCGTCGCCTTTTTTGACTACCCGACTTCAGGCTCTCAAAAAAAATCTAGACATAAGACATTTTAAACTCGTTTTAATGTCATTTTGCAGAAAAATAATTGGCCTTTCGAATGCAATAAACCGTTGTTCAATTGGTGCATTTGTTACTTTTTAACGGAAGTACGAAAAAAATGAAAAAGACTTTTGCATCAACCTAATAGTTAAGGAAAAAAAAAAACCCAACTTAATGAGAAAAAGAACACACTTGATTTTGCCAGCGAGATCGAAACCTCGACCTTCCGATTAGGAGACAAGACTCCTAACCAGTCGGCCAACTGGACAACTTTATGAGAAGAAAAGCATTAAAAAATTTTTTCTAAAAAATTGCTAAAAAAATTTAAAAAAAAAAAAAAAATTGCTTAGTTTTAAAATGAAATCTTTTTTTAAAACATAATAATTACAAAAAGAAAGAAATTTATTTTGCTACTTTATAAGATGACCTAGTAGTTAAGCCTAGTTTTCCCCACCCCCTAGATGATACCGTCATGGCCGAATATATATATATATATATATGTCGTAGCCGCTTACGAAATTCAGCCGCTAACGAATGAGGGCATTTCCGGGCATCCAATCAAAAAGTGACCCACATAAAAAATGTTCATAATACATATATTTTATAATAAATTTTTGAAATTAGCTCATTTGGTTCAGTAGAAAAATTTTTTTGAGCCCCCAAAGTTTAGGTTCAAAAATGCCTTAAAATGGCTATAAAAAATTTTCTACTCAGCCAAAAAACTTGCCTAATAGCTCATTTTGTAGCCAATTTGATGTAGTTTCTTAAAGTAAAGCTACATTGAACATTTGTTTTTCAAAGCTAGGAGAAAGAGGGCGAAGAACGACTTCAGTTGAACTAGGTCGCTGTTTTCACATTTGAGAATTGCCCTGAATTTGTTCCTCGCCCTCTTTCTCGTACCTTCAACGAAAAATTGTTTTAGATGGCTTTACTTTAAGAAACTACATCAAATTGGCTACAAAATGAGCTATTAGGCAAGTTTTTTGGCTGAGTAGAAAATTTTTTATAGCCATTTTAAGGCATTTTTGAACCTAAACTTTGGGGGCTCAAAAAATTTTTTCTACTGAACCAAATGAGCTAATTTCAAAAATTTATTATAAAATATATGTATTATGAACATTTTTTATGTGGGTCACTTTTTGATTGGATGCCCGGGAATACCCTCATTCGTTAGCGGCTGAATTTCGTAAACGGCTACGACATATAGATACTTTATTCAGGACCTGAGATAAAGTGCGCTAGATTTAAGATTAAAACACATGAATTCATACACATCACACGAAAAGGGCCGATAAAAAGAAACACGAGATAATATATGTAAAATGTGGGTAGCACAGATAACGTCAAGGATCCACTAGAGCTTCAGGGATACGTCAAGGATCCACTAGAGCTTCAGGGATACGTCAAGGATCCACTAGAGCTTCAGGGATACGTCAACGATCCACTAGAGCTTCAGGGATACGTCAAGGATCCACTAGAGCTTCAAGATCAAGATCATCTACAGATAATTTAAAGGTTTCGAGACTATTGGACTCTCTCAAAACTCTGGGGAGTCGATTCCGAATTCTGGCAGTTCTTATTGGAAAAGAGTTATAAACAAACTTATTGGAGGTGACTGGAATTTCTAAAACGAATGGTTAAGAGTCTTGTCTTCTAGTCGGGAGGGCACAGTCACAGGTCGCGGGTTCGATCCCATCTACTGGAAAAAAAGACTTGCACATGGGTTTTACTCTGCAACATCTGTAGAGCAGTTGTATATCGTAAAAGCTGTAATAGTAGGCCTATAGGAGCGTCGCGTAGTCTAAGTTTAGACTCAAAGAACAGCTCATTTCTCGGTGCTAGACATGTCCATTTTCGAGTTTTGGCGAAAACCAAAAATCTTCTGTATTCTTTACCCAAAATTCTAAAAATCCTCATTATCCGAAAATCAATTATCCTGGCTAATCTATGAAGCTGCAATGAGCTAATCTATAAAGCTGCAATGAGCTAATCCATAAAGCTACAATGAGCTAATCTATAAAGCTGCTATAAGCTAATCTATAAAGCTGCGATGAGCTATCACATTCAAAAAAAAATGAGTGAATCTTTCTAGGAGTTGGCTCTTGTCGCAATCGCTGTCTCCGAATTGAGCAAAGAGTTATCAAGAGCTGCTGAGATCTCTCAACCACTTACACCTGTTGAGAAAAAGTTTGTTTTTTTAAAGAGAGAATATACAAATAGAGAATCGATTTTTAGACCTTCATCAGCTTCAATTCATTCATTCAAAAACAAAAGCCCAGATGAGAATCTTTGGATTCGTGGAGTGCTTGAGAAAACAAAAGCTTTTCAAGTATGGAAAATGTTGCCTTTTTGAAAAGCTGTTTTTGAAGAGCTGTTCTTGAAGAGCTGTTCTTGAAGAGCTGTTCTTGAAAAGCTGTTTTTGAAGAGCTGTTTTGAAGAGCTGTTTTTGAAGAGCTCTTCTTGGAGAGCTGTTTTTGAAGAGCTGTTTTTGAAAAGCTCTTTTTAAAGAGCTCTTTTTGAACAGCTCTTCTTGAACAGCTCTTTTTAAAGAGCTCTTTTTGAAGAGCTCTTCTTGAACAGCTCTTCTTGAAGAGCTCTTCTTGAACAGCTCTTTTTAAAGAGCTCTTCTTGAAAAGCTCTTCTTGAACAGCTCTTCTTGAAGAGCTCTTCTTGAACAGCTCTTTTTGAAAAGCTACAGCTAAGCTACAATCATCTTCAGAAAACGAATCAACGTCGTGGTTTGGACTTGAAATATGTGCCAATCGAGTTGCTGATTAAAGGAAATGGTTTGATTTAGTTGTGCATTTGATTTCAATGAATTTTAGTACGAACTTTACTAACATCATTTCAGTAAACTTCTCAAATATTCGTCTTGAATCAATTCTCACCGATCTTTGCATTGCCGTCTCGATGCAACACATTGCAATGACACAAACGGACACGAGAAAGTTGAATGGTTGTGATCCGAAAGAGAAAGCCACACAGAACACACATTTCTCGATCTTTCTCCGTCGAGCAACGTTGGCCATTTTGGAGAGCGAGGGAAGAGCACAACGACAAGCAACACCTGTCAATTTGTCTAGTGGGATAAAGGTGAGACAAACTGGTTTAAGCTTGGAACTAGATGACCTACATGAGCAGAAGATGGATTCGATCAAATCCATTTGGTCGAATCCATCTTCTGCTCATATAGAATAGCTGACTCTACTCGAAAATCAAATCCAAATCCAAAAACACAACTGTTTCAGGAGAAAGTTGATCAAAAATTCGAACATCAGCAACATATTCTTGATTGCAGTCTACAAGAAAGTCATCTCACTGTGACAAGGTTTTTAAAATTGAATTTTCATTATTCTAATGATTCTAATGATTCTAATGATTCTAATGGTTCTAATGATTCTAATGGTTCTAATGATTCTAATCAGATTCTAATCAGATTCTAATGATTCTAATGATTCTAATGATTCTAATAAGATTCTGATATCAATTTTCGAGAATTTAAAAGAATTTCTAGAAAAATCCCCTCTGAGAAAGATGTGAACACATTTTTGCGTTTATCCCTTGGAGCAATTGAGGGAGATTTACCAATGGCCGCTCAATCATTGCACGATGTTGTACTAAGACACGGGCCACAGTTAGAACGACAATTTGATCGGTGAGTAGAAGCCTGAGCCTAGCTTCTGTAGCTAGAGCCTGAGCCTGACTTCTGTAGCTTGAGCCTGACTTCTGTAGCTTGAGCCGGGCTTCTGTAGCTAGGGCCTGAGCCTGACTTCTGTAGCTTGAGCCGGGCTTCTGTAGCTTGAGCCTGGTTTCTGTAGCTAGAAGCCTAAGCCTAGGCCCAAGCCTAAGCCTGAGCCTGTAGCTAGAAACCTGAGCCTGGCTTCTGTTGCTAGAAGCTTGAGTCTAAGCCTAAGGCTAAGCCTAAGCCTAAGCCTGAGCCTAGCTTCTTTGGCTTATTGGCCTAGATACCAACGCTGAACCTAGCTAGCCATCTATAGCTATTCCACCTTGCTCTTCTACCTTACTCTTCAGCTTATCCGCTCAACCGACTACAACAACCACTCAAAATCCACCGCAATCGATGAATCCGTTAATCAACGAGGTGACTGAGGAGAATCGAGAAATAAAAGAAAATCTTCTCATCAAAGCGACGAATCCGATTGGAGTGCCGAATCTTGGAGGACCGCGGAGGATTGTCAAGGTGCGTTTGTGAACTAATTTCCCATCAAATGCTGACTTCAGGTTGCTTTCAACTTCGAGATCACAAGCATTGAGCTAGCCGCTCAACTATTGCCAAGTTTACGCATGAAATACAGGATTGGACAAGTGCACAGTCAGGGAATAACTGGTAAGATTAGAAGGCTGGATTAGTGGGTAGATAATCTGCTTCAGATCTGGTTACGGTAACCCAAGGCTAAACCTAAGCTACCGTAATCCAAAGCTAGATCCAAGCTACCGTAACGCAAGCCTTAACTCAAGCTACCATAACCGGACCATCAGCAAGCTTTAAATTGGGTTACGGTAGTCTTCAAGCCTTTCAACCTGTACAGTACACCAAATTTTAGGTGAAGCAGCCAACTGGACGGCTGAACTCGTAAAGCACGAGGTACGCTTCACAGTGCAAGCCGAAACTCGCTCGATTCCCGAGCATTTCTCACTACCACTTCCAAAGGTATGGCATTATCAGAGCTAAATTCAATTCAAATCTCCTTTCCTCCTATCAGATCAACCAAAGGAAAACCCAAGATCGAAAAATTTGTTTAAAAATTAAACTTTTTCAGATCAATGTCATTGGTACGTATGAAAAAGTGGGAAATGAAGGAGCGCCGATCTCTGCGAAACAACTCCATTACAGAGAAGGCGGATATCTTGATGTATTGCTGCAATTCGGTCGGGTTTTTCAATAAGAAACCTTTGCCAGTTGGCTGTGACCTTTTAAAACAAAATCTATCTTATAAAATCGACTACGGTTGGATTGGATTAGGCTTCTGAAGGCTTCTGAAGGCTTCTGAAGGCTTAGAAATCACGAGAAACACTCTAGTTAAGTCTAGTCCTTGAGCCAAACCAAACCCAGAGGAGCAGGCTTGAATTTAAGCTAAATCCAGTTAACTCAGGTCAAAGCTAGGGTTAAGCTAGGGTCAGGCTTGGATTAGGCTTGGCTTGGATTGGATTGGATTGGATTGGATTAGGCTGGCTTAGGCTTGGCTTGGGTTCGATTAGGCTGGCTTAGGCTTGGCTTAGGCTGGCTTAGGCTGGCTTAGGCTTAGATCTAGGATTTCCGGCTCTCTGAGCCTAGATAGATTGATAGCTGACAGCTCATTGATGTCTCACACTTCAGGCCGTGTCGACTACACATTCACAACGGATCTCCTGAATCAGATCCTCTTCGCCGAGCAGTCTTTCCGTTCAGAGATGAGTCTATTGATCTCTCGAATTCGTTCTTCTAAACCAGCTCCATTCGCTCCGTCATCAAATGAACAGACAATGGGAAAGCCGCTATTGTTCTCATTGAAGGTAGGTTTAAGATACAGTACCTCAGTACGTACCATTGCTATGTACAGTAGGTAGACTTTGGCTTATTATGGCTTACATTGTGCTGAAACCAGCAAGACTTTGAGGTGGAAGGTCTTGAAGAGAAAGGAATCCCTTGGCTACAATTGACAGCTTCAACTCCAACATCGATCGCTTTTCGATTAACTCTTGATAATTTACATGGAAATTTGACAAATCGCTGGGTTGTTCGAGAGGCTGAAGGACGGGAAAGGTGAGTTCGAATCTCTTTATCAGAACTAACCCAAACTTGACAGAATCTTTGGCGTGGCCGAGATCGAACTCTCGGCTAAACTCGGGCAACTCTGCAAGCCGGCACAATTCCATGAGGTCGCTTTCGAGCTACAAGAATATGCGTCATTTATGACACAGGTGAATACAGGGATCTAGAGAAAGAGCTGAGTAGAAAACTTCAATCTTTTTTTTAGATTCGTTTGGAGAATAAAGAGGGCACAGCGAACTCGAATTACTCGTATTTGATCGCGTTGAATCGACCGATTCTGTTGATCAAATCGATGGCGTTTGATAAGGTGATCAAAGCTACATTTACATTACATTGAATCAATGTTGGCTTTAATCAGGGGACTCTAGGGGACTTTAGGGGACTTTAGGGGACTCTAGGGGACTCTAGGGGGACGGTAGGGGGCTCTAGGGACTCTAGGGGACTGTGGGGAGACTTTAGGGGACTCTAGGGAACTGTAGGGGACTCTAGGGAACTGTAGGGGACTCTAGGGGACTCTAGGGGACTTTAGGGGACTCTAGGGGGACGGTAGGGGACTCTAGGGGACTCTAGGGGACTCTAGGGGACTCTAGGGGACTGTGGGGAGACTTTAGGGGACTCTAGGGAACTGTAGGGGACTCTAGGGAACTGTAGGGGACCCTAGGAGACTCTAGGGGACTTTAGGGGACTCTAGGGGGACGGTAGGAGACTCTAGGGTACTGTAGGAGACTGTAGAATACTGTAGAAGTCATCAGGGTACTTTAGAGTACTGTTTCCCCACTTGAATCTCCAAAATTCTAGGCAATTCTCTTGTGGTTGAACTACAAGAACACATACGATTATTGGCGAACGGAAATGACGAAAGCAGAAAAAGAGCGAATGAGGCAAAGGAAGGAGACGAGCATTGAGATCGATGAGAAGGGATTGGCAAAGAATGCGATATCGATGTTTAGCCCGCAACCTGGTGCAAGTTCGGCTACGGTAAGCGTGGCTGGAGTGGCTGGAGTCCTAGAGTACTGTAGAGCTGGAGACTTTAGTTCTAGAATACTGTAGAGTTGGAGCCTGTAGTTCTAGAGTACCGTAGTTCTGCAGCCTATGGTCCTAGAGTACTGTAGTTCTGGAGCCTGTAGTCCTAGAATACTGTAGTTCTGGAGCCTATAGGCTAAGCCCAAGTCTAAGCTTGAGCCGTTAGACTGAAAGTCCTAGAGTACTGTAGTTCTGTGGCCTGTAGTTCTAGAGTTAGTTCCAGCCAGCTTCGAGTAGCAGTCCTAGAGCACTGTGAGTGGGCTTGTCCTAGAGTAGGGCTCCGAAGCCTATAGTCCTAGAGTACTGTAGTTCTGTAGCCTGTAGCTTTAGAGTACTGTAGTTCCGAAGCCTATGGTCCTAGAGTACTGTAGAGCTGGAGACTGTAGACCAGATACTAGATGATTACGGTAGTCTTCTAAAGGTGAATTGAACGAGTACTGTAGAGTTTTTTTAAACATTTCTACTCTTCAGGACATCAACATCAACATGTCACTCTCGATTCAAAACGGAATGTACATTTGCATGCCGTTAATAGGCACAGAGGTAGGGTTTAGATAGATTCAGTGCACCAGACGGGCTATGTTTTGAGCGGAAAGTTTGCAGATTAGCGACGGCATGGCCGCTCTGGTGATCTCATTGGAGAAAAGTGATGTAAATGTCTGCGTTCGAAAGGAATTAGCCTGTCAAGCTGTCTTTGAATCGTTTAAAGTCGCTTTCGTCGATAATTACGATGAACAAGTGAGTAAAGAGTACAGCAACGGAAAAAGATTACGAATTTTTAAAAATTAATCCTTTAGTCTCTCTCTGATTCATTTTTCAAGACGACTGATGATTCGAATTATTGCTTTTTTCCTTCTGGTACTTATCAATTTTGCTCACAAGCTTCAACTGGATTGGAGGGGAGAGCTGAGTGGGTTCTATCGATTCGATCACAAATGCAGGTAAGGAAATCGTTTAAATAGTCAACAATTGATCAAATAAACCTCAAATTTTGATTCTTGATAGTTAAAAGGTGAGATCATAGCCTTCTGACAGCACAGCTTTGAGACAGCACAGACAAAACTGAACCCACAATTACTCCAACGATTCCACCAGCAATTGTCACGATAGGGACAGCACAGCTTAGGGACAGCCCAGCCTTAGGACAGCACAGCTTAGGGACAGCCCAGCCTTAGGACAGCACAGCTTAGGGACAGCCCAGCCTTAGGACAGCACAGCTTAGGGACAGCCCAGCCTTAGGACAGCACAGCTTAGGGACAGCACAACTTAGAGACAGCACAACCTTGGAACAGCACAGCCTTGTGACAGCACAGCCTTCTGACAGTACAGCCTTGGGACAGCACAGCCTTCTGACAGTACAGCCTTGGGACAGCACAGCCTTCTGACAGTACAGCCTTGGGACAGCACAGCCTTCTGACAGTACAGCCTTGGGACAGCACAGCCTTCTGACAGTACAGCCTTGGGACAGCACAGCCTTCTGACAGTACAGCCTTGGGACAGCACAGCCTTCTGACAGTACAGCCTTGGGACAGCACAGCCTTCTGACAGTACAGCCTTGGGACAGCACAGCCTTCTGACAGTACAGCCTTGGGACAGCACAGCCTTCTGACAGTACAGCCTTGGGACAGCACAGCCTTCTGACAGTACAGCCTTGGGACAGCACAGCCTTCTGACAGTACAGCCTTGGGACAGCACAGCCTTCTGACAGTACAGCCTTGGGACAGCACAGCCTTCTGACAGTACAGCCTTGGGACAGCACAGCCTTCTGACAGTACAGCCTTGGGACAGCACAGCCTTCTGACAGTACAGCCTTGGGACAGCACAGCCTTCTGACAGTACAGCCTTCTGACAGCACACCATTTGAAGCGCACCATTTGAAGCACACCATTTGAAGCGTACCATTTGAAGCACACCATTTGAAGCAGACCATTTGAAGCACAACTTTCCACTACGCAATAACTAGAGATTTTTGAATGGACATTAAAAGCAAGATGCCATACCGTTGACAAAACTGAACCCATCATTACTCCAACGTTTCCACCAGCAATTGTCACGATACAAAAGTAGATAGCAAGACTAAAGTTATCGATTATTTGATTGAAATTGTTGTATACGAACTTTCCTTTATCCTTTTCATCCAGAAGACTTGTAGAATTGAGCTTCATTTTGTGAGCCCTGTGAGATCAAAGCCTTTTGACAGCCTTGTCACAAAATTTGCATGCTAAATGAGCTGTGATACCACTGATCTGTACCATCATAGCCTGTTAAAAAAAAACTATGATAAGAGATGAGAAATTCTTGGGTTTCAAGATTCTCGCCAAGAATTTCAAGAATCAATTTCGTGAGGTGTAGGTGATGGATAACGCCGTTACAAGCTATCCATCATTCTACAGCTTTCCAAGCTAAAACCATCAAAAACCATTTGATTTCTTGTTTCTTCAATTTCATAGACTTCTACCTTTTAGGGAATGCAAGTGGATCTGGATCAACGAATCGGTCGCCTTGCCAAGCTCTTAGTCAACACTTTTACATCGTTTGGTGGTAGGAGAGCTTGAAACTTCAAGAATTATCTTAGAGAATCTTTAGAAGACGATGATTTTGAAGAATTCACGGATCAAGGCTATGATTTGGAGACAGATTTGGGAGAAGAGGATGCAAAAGTTTGTAGCTTTTGGACTCTAGCTTTAGCTCTAGCTCTAGCTAGGGTGTAGCTCTAGAGAAATCACAAATTTCTATTCAGATGTTGGAGGAAGCGGCTGAGCTTCAAAAAATCCAGCAACCAGAGGGGAAAGTGCGGTGGATTGAGAGGAAAATGCATGAGGAAGCTGTTCATATTTCGGAGTTGGTACAGAAAAGAGCATCGGAAAGGGATTTAGAGGTGAGTGGAAAGCTTTGAGCTGAGCTTGGAGCTTGGCTTGGAGCTTTGCTTGAAGCCAGGTTCGAGCTGTTGACTAGTTACACTGTAGTAGACTTAGATGAATGGTAGATTGAAAGCAGTCTGGATGGCTAGGGTAGAAGCTAGGTCAGGAAAGAATTGATCAGGCTTTGATCTGCTGAAGTGATCAACTGATAGGTTATTAGCAGAAGGCTTTAAACAGAGTCGGAACAAGCTTGTACAGTAACTAGTACAATAACCGGTACAATAACGAGTACAATAACGAGTACTAAAATCTGTACAGCTTCTACCCTAGCCGTCCAGTTAGACTGCTTTAAATCTACTGTTCATCTATGAAGTCAGTAAGTAGGAATTTGGAGATCAGCTGGTTCTTTAGATCAGCTGGTCCTTTAGATAAGCTGGTCCTTTAGATCAGCTAATCCTTTAGATCAGATGATCCTTTAGATGAGCTGGTCCTTTAGATCATCTAATCCCTTAGATGAGCTGACCCTTTAGATCAGATGGTCCTTTAGATAAGCTGGTCCTTTAGATCAGCTGATCCTTTAGATCAATTAACTTTAGATGAGCTGGTCCTTTAGATCAGCTAACTTTAGATCAGCTAACTTTAGATCAGCTAACTTTAGATCAGCTAACTTTAGATCAGCTGATCCTTTAGATCAGCTGATCCTTTAGATCAGCTGATCCTTTAGATCAGCTGATCCTTTAGATCAGCTGATCCTTTAGATCAGCTGATCCTTTAGATCAGCTAATCCTTTAGATCAGCTGATCCTTTAGATCAGCTAACTTTAGATCAGCTGATCCTTTAGATCAACCAATCCTTTAGCTCAGCTATTCCTTTAGCTCAGTCAATCCTTTAGCACAATCAATCCTTTAGATCAGCTAATCCTTGATCCATTTTCCATTTTCTAGGCAGCTCGTGTAAAACTTCGCCGTCTTGAATTGATTCGTTTCAAACAATTTCGTCGAACTATGATTGAGAAATGGAGAAGAAGCCATATTCAACCGAAAAAGGTAAACAAATTGTACTAATTGTACGAAATTGTACTGTAGCAATTGTGCTAATTGTACTAATTGTACTAATTGTACTAATTGTAGTCAATCAGTCAAACAAATGTAACCAAAATCAAATTCAGCAAGCCTCAAGTCGAAATCAAGACCTCGTTTCAAGAAAACATTCAAGACCAGGTGGTGATTATTATTTGAATTATTTGAATGATTTGAACTGGCTCACTGTTTAGGCGAGACAGCTTCAATCAACAAAGCCGAGCCGATACGTCCAGAAACAACAGTTGATATGCACATTGATTTACAGGTGACTGGTATTCTCTAGCTCTAGCTCTAGCTCTAGCTCTAGCTCTAGCATTCCTCTAGCTATAATCATCAACTCTAGATCAGCCAATCCTTTAGCTCAGTCAATCCTTTAGTCACAGTACTATTTTCAGCTAAACATCGCCTCAGGCCTATGCATTCTACGCACTATGCAAAAAGAGGGATCTCAACAACAGACAGGATTCACAAATGTGCAAATGTCGAAAAAACCATCAGCAAAAGATTTGAGAAAGGGACTTTTCACAATGCAACAAAGCAATGAGACGAGGTTCTCGATTCCGAGGTTAGAAATAGTCATAGATATGTTTTGATGCTCTTCGGACTTGAATACACTTCACCAATCATCTGGAAGCCAACTACTGGGCCCTCTGACTTTCTGGGCCTAGCAATCCCAAATCCAAAACAAGATCTGTGCCTGGTCTAGCAGTACTTGGCTTAGAAACAATCCTTGGTCTAGCCTGGTTTGACCTGAACGATGTACAGTACTCTCCAGTACTCTCCAGTACCCTTTAGAGCACTCTTTACAGTCGCCAGTGCAGTAAAATAGTGTCGCATTGTCCAGATACTAGACTCCCCATCCAATAGATCGAATCCATATTAAAATGGATCGGATTGCCTTGGATAGTGAGCTGATTCGATCCAATTTGATCCAATCCGATTGATTTGATTAGTTCGATTGATTTAATCCGATTTGATTCGATTATCAGATTGAATCCGATCCAATCCATCTGACAGAAAAGGATCGGAACTCAAGCACATATTAGGTTGAGGAGTAGAAAATGTTTGTCATAAAAATGTTTGTCAAGCAAGTCAAGTCAATGTCAATCAAGCAAATGTCAAGAATAGCAAATCTATGGGCATCTAAACCCCGTTGTAAACCCGTTCTAAAGCTTGTTCTAAAGCCTGTTCTAAAGCCTGTTCTAAAGCCAGTTCTAAACCCCGTTCTAAAGCCTGTTCTAAACCCCGTTCTAAACCCGTTCTAAAGCCTGTTCTAAACCCCGTTCTAAACCCCGTTCTAAACCCCGTTCTAAAGCCTGTTCTAAAGCCTGTTCTAAACCCTGTTCTAAACCCTGTTCTAAACCCCGTTCTAAACCCCGTTCTAAACCCCGTTCTAAAGCCTGTTCTAAAGCCTGTTCTAAACCCTGTTCTAAACCCTGTTCTAAACCCCGTTCTAAACCCCGTTCTAAACCCCGTTCTAAAGCCTGTTCTAAAGCCTGTTCTAAACCCTGTTCTAAACCCGTTCTAAAGCCTGTTCTAAAGCCTGTTCTAAACCCTGTTCTAAACCCGTTCTAAAGCCTGTTCTAAAGCCTGTTCTAAAGCCAGTTCTAAACCCTGTTCTAAACCCTGTTCTAAACCCCGTTCTAAACCCGTTCTAAACCCTGTTCTAAACCCTGTTCTAAACCCTGTTCTAAACCCCATTCCTTTCTTTCCAGTGTCGATATCAAAGGCTATTATGCGTCAAAAGAAGCTGTCGGTGAGATGGAAAATCGTTTGAATCCGATGAATGAAATTGGGGAAATGAACAATCCGATGAAACAACATTTGATTGACGAGCAAAGAATGGCGCATGGTTGGTGGATTTTGAAATCAGAAAGAAGCTCTAGTTTAGCTCTACACTCTAGTTTAGCCTAGTCTTGTTTCTGTTAGAGTTCTTGTCTAGCCAGAACTTGTACTGGTTTATTAGCAAGAACTCTAACATTAGCCAAATCGATGAGAATTTGATTTCTTTATTTTAGCCAGCAGTACCTCGTTCCTCGATCGTCCATCACCGCTAAAAACTCTCAAAAAATTGCCATCATCAACGAGCAATTTGGGAAAAGAGGTATAATCTTTGAATAGATTTGGATAATTGATAAAATATTTGAAAATATATAGGTGAATCCGTCAAAACGTGGGTGTTTCTACTTGAACATCAGCCTTGCCTCAATGCCCACTGAGACAGTCGTTCGACCACATTTGGCCGATTTTCTTGAACAGGTTTGTCTTTTGGCTTGATTGACGGCTTGACAAACGATAAAGTTTGATTTATTAGAGCTTAATTTCAAGAGGATAAGAATACTAGTAGTCTAGAACTAGAACTAGAGCTAGAGCTAGAGCTAGAGCTAGAGCTAGAACTAGAACTGAACCATATCCTTTCCAGGTTCTTGAACCCCTTCCCAACACCTCCGGTCTGATGTTCCGTTCCTCATCCATTTCCACGATTCAAGAATCGATAAATTCGACGGATTCTGTCTCTGCGCCAATTGTTTCAATTGGTTTGTCAAGCGGACTTTTAACTATCTAAAACTAATCTAAAACTAATCTAAAGCTAATCATCAATCGATTTCTAGATACATCAGCTCTTCCATTAGATATCATTTTATATCTAACCATTCAATCATCAACTTTCCGTTTCGAAGGGCAACAACAGGTAGCTTTCGAAGTACTCTATGCAGTACTATGCAGTACAGTACTCTATGCTGTTAGCTACTGTACTAGCTACTGTACTGTAGCTACTGCTGGTACTGGTACTGGCACTGGTACTGGCACTGGTACTGGTACTGGTACTGGTACTGGTACTGGTACTGGTACTGGGACTGGGACTGGTACTGGGACTGGGACTGGGACTGGGACTGGGACTGTAGCTACTGCTGTTAGCTAGTGCTCTACACCTTAGTAACTGTTGGCTGATGAACTGCAGGCTGCAGGCTGTAGTCTATAGGATGTAGTCTGTAGTCTGCAAGCTGTAGTCTGTAGGCTGTAGTCTGCAGGCTGTAGTCGGTAGGCTGTAGTCGGTAGGCTGTAGTCTGCAGGCTGTAGTCTGTAGTCTGTAGCCTTTCCATTAGCTTGCAGACTTGTCAATGACTTTCAGACTCTAAAACTTCCCATTCTTTCTATCCTTTCCAAATTCTTGATCTCTTTCAGCGTTCCTCAGCAGCCGATTGTCTCTTGAAGTTACCTTGTCTTACCCTAATGGCTTCTACTCGACGAATGGAAGGCTTGACATTAAATCAAGGAAATGCAGCCTATGTTTTAGGAGGAGTGAGTTTAAAAGAAATCCAATCTATTAGGCTTTTGCCATTCATTCATCATTTGTCATTCATCATTCAAATCAGGTAGACATCTCGGTAACTCTATCGGCGTTCTCTCTATCCATTTACTCGCCTCATCAACAAGCCACAGCTCATGATGCTCTTTCGCTAACGTTAGATCATTTATCCTTTGTCATCTCGAGAAGTAAAAACGGATCACAGGAAATTGATAATAAAGTTCGGGTGGGTGAACAAGATCGAAAGTTTGATAGCTTTTTTTCAGTTCGTTCTCACCGCAAATGTTGGCTCGGCTTCTTTCAACTATGACATGAGGCGATTGAGCGAGTTGATCGCTTTCCCGAAACCATGGTGGGTCAGAAGAAAATAGAGATAGTCTGGAGAGAGCTCGAGAGCCAGCTCTCAAGCCAGCTTTCCAGCTAGCTCTGAAGCCAGCTCTCGAGTCGGCTCTGAAGCCAGCTTTCGAGCCAGCTCTGAAGCCAGCTCTCGAGCCAGCTCTGAAGCCAGCTCTCGAGCCAGCTCTGAAGCCAGCTTAACCCTAACTTAAGTTTCAAAAACTTTAGGTACCGTGCCGCTATCATGCGTCGTGTCTTCTTCGGTGATCAAAGTGTGAAACCGAAAAGTCCGCCAAACCAAGACCGACCAGCAAGCAGAATTTCCGCACAACCTATTCGGTGAGTTGATGGATTAGAAGGGTTTGATGTTCTCGAGAAAAGGTAGAAAGGTCCTAACCCGGAACTGGAAGCCTAAATTCTCAGGTTCACTCAAGAAAATAGAGATAGTCTGGAGTCAGCTCTCGAGCCAGCTCTGAAGCCAGCTTAGCCAGGCCAAAACCGAGATCAAGACTTGGATGGTCCTAGCCCGGGACTGAAAGCCTAAATCCTTAGGCTCACTATCAAAACTTCAGCTTAGACTTACAATGTCAACAATTACTGTAGCATAGCACTGTACGTAGTCCGTATTTCCAGAAAACTCGAGCCACGTCCCGAGAAAGAGGAGAAAGCATGGGCGGCGACCGTGCAAGTGGCCGTACAATGGAAAGAGTTGAACATTTTTGCTCAAATGAGTAATGCAATGGGGAACACGACGTGGAAGGCAAGAGATGGAGTGCTCAGGGGACACACAAAGGTTTGTACTGGACTTGGTACTGTCCTAGATCCTGTACCGGTACTGGCTAGAGTCCTAGATCCTGTACCGGTACTGGCTCCAGTCCTAGATCCTGTACCGGTACTGGCTCTAGTCCTAGATCCTGTACCGGTACTGGCTAGAGTCCTGGATCCTGTACCGGTACTGGCTCCAGTCCTAGATCCTGTACCGGTACTGGCTAGAGTCCTGGATCCTGGACCGGTACTGGCTCTAGTCCTAGATCCTGTACCGGTACTGGCTAGAGTCCTGATCCTGACCGGTACTGGCTCTGTCCCAGATCCTGTACCGGTACTGGCTAGAGTCCTGGATCCTGACCGGTACTGGCTCTGTCCTAGTCCTGTACCGGTACTGGCTAGAGTCCTGGATCCTGACCGGTACTGGCTCTAGTCCTAGATCCCGTACCGGTACTGGCTGGTCCTGGATCCTGACCGGTACTGGCTCTAGTCCCAGATCCTGTACCGGTACCGGCTAGAGTCCTGGATCCTGACCGGTACGGCTCTGTCCTAGATCCCGTACCGGTACTGGCTAGAGTCCTGGATCCTGGACCGGTACTGGCTCTAGTCCTAGATCCTGTACCGGTACTGGCTCCAGTCCTAGATCCTGTACCGGTACTGGCTCCAGTCCTAGATCCTGTACAGGTACTGGCTACAGTCCTAGATCTTGTACCGGTACTGGCTCTAGTCCTAGATCCTGTACCGGTACTGGCTAGAGTCCTGGATCCTGGACCGGTACTGGCTCTAGTCCTAGATCCTGTACCGGTACTGGCTAGAGTCCTGGATCCTGACCGGTACTGGCTCTAGTCCTAGATCCTGTACCGGTACTGGCTAGAGTCCTGGATCCTGGACCGGTACTGGCTCTGTCCTAGATCCTGTACCGGTACTGGCTAGAGTCCCGGATCCTGACCGGTACTGGCTCTAGTCTAGATCCTGTACCGGTACTGGCTAGAGTCCTGGATCCTGGACCGGTACTGGCTCTAGTCCTAGATCCTGTACCGGTACTGGCTAGAGTCCTGGATCCTGGACCGGTACTGGCTCTAGTCCTAGATCCTGTACCGGTACTGGCTAGAGTCCTGGATCCTGGACCGGTACTGGCTCTAGTCCTAGATCCTGTACCGGTACTGGCTAGAGTCCTGGATCCTGGACCGGTACTGGCTCTAGTCCTAGATCCTGTACCGGTACTGGCTCCAGTCCTAGATCCTGTACAGGTACTGGCTACAGTCCTAGATCTTGTACCGGTACTGGCTACTGTTCTGGATCCTGTACCGGAACTGGCTCCAGTCCTAGATCCTGTACCAATTACTGTATCGATTAACTCATTACTCTATCAAGTGGAAAGGATTTCCATAAAATGGAAATACTTCGAATCGAAACTTTTCCTTAGTTAAACTCCCGACTGGAACGAGAAGCGTATATCCTTTTCCGACTCCATTCATCCGAACTCTCCGCTCATGGAGGAGCGATCTCAGGCCAAATCGGCATCACACAATTGAGATTATCAGCCAAGCACAGCAAGAAATCGAATGTAAGTGTTGTTTCATTTACTGTTACTGTTACGGATTACAGACTACAGTAATCATTAGTCTGATTTTCTCTTTCTACAGTACCCCTTTTCAGCAACCACCAGCCAACCATTTCAACACGAACCTCAAAAGAATCTCCTGTCGAATCGAGTGGATGTCTCGTTCAGTTCTCATTGCGACATGCAAAGAGCCGACAATCTCCGTTTTTGATGATTGGTCTGTAGAGAAAGATTCGAGTGGAGTGGTGAGGATTTGGGGGAAATGTTTGGGGAAGGTTCAAGCTCAGTTGTTGAGCCAGATCCAGCTCTGACTTCAAAGCTAGCCAGTCAAGGCAAAGCTTGTAAGCTAGGCTAATGCCTGGTAACAATCTAGGGCAACTTTTAATGCTGATTTGATTAGGTGAATCGCTCTTCAGTCTCTGTTGGAATGGACGGTCGATGGTGTGATCTTCAAATGGTGATTACAAGGGATACAGTCGAATCCTGTGAGAAAATCTTTAACAAACTCGTCTCATTCTTCCAGGTTGGTGATTTGAGAAAGTACAAAACAGTACAGTTCATTTGAACAGTCTATTTGAACAGTACAGTCTATTTGAACAGTACAGTCATTTGAACAGTACAGTCCATTTGAACAGTACAGTCCATTTGAACAGTACAGTCCATTTGAACAGTACAGTCTATTTGAACAGTACAGTCCATTTGAACAGTACAGTCCATTTGAACAGTACAGTCCATTTGAACAGTACAGTACCGAGTCAAGTTCAATGTTTTAGGATCAACTGAAAAGCTCGAAGATTGTTTGGGGAATTTATGAAGAAAAAACCCTGACACCGATTGAGTCAGAAGAAACGAATGGGGAAAAGGAAGAGAGGAGTCATTTGGCGAGCCGATTTTGGGAAAAGGTTTATATTCTATTAGTTTATTAGTTTAAGAATTGTTTTGATGAAGTGATCTATTCTTGGATCCATTCTTGGATCTATTCTTGGATCTATTCTTCAATCAATCCTTCAATCAATCCTTCAATCAATCCTTCAATCAATTCTCCAATCTTCTCCAATCCTCCCCAATCTTCTCCAATATTCTCCAATATTCTCCAATGATCAACCTTAGGTCCTCGACATTCTCTGCTCGATCCAAATGCGTCAAAATCTATTGCCTCTTCCGATGTCAGCTAATGGAGAGACTGTGGTGAGGCTGGCTGGCTTGAGCTGAGCCTAACCTGGCTCTAGACTTGATCCGGATCTAATCCATTCTTGAATACTGTACCTAATCTACAGCCGGCTCTCTGCCGACTCTAGATCTGTTCTAAAGACTGGGCTTGATACAGTACCCAAGGCTTAAACCTTGGGTACTGTATCTAACCCACCAAAGCCTATAGGTACTCAAGGCTATAAGATAGGTCTGAATCTAAGATCTGAATCTAAACCTAGACCTAGAAAACCTTTAATGAATCTTTTTCAGGTTGGTGGCAGTGTTCAATTCGAGGCTGGTAGCATCAGTTTAGCGTGTATGCATGGGGAAATGCACGCAAATAGGTAAAAAGGCTAGAGAGAACTAGATTAGTTCATTTCCCAACTACAGTAACCTAACACAAAAACCTCTAGCTGGGCTTTCTTCCACATGCAACAACCGTTGATCCTCTTCACTCCCGAGGCTCTCTACACGTTTGTCGATGAGGCTAATGGACAGGTAGAGGATCTAGGGCTGACTGCTCAGCTTGTTCAAGGCCTTGAGCTGGTCTTGGATCAACTACATTGTACTGGTACGTACTGGTACCATGTACATAGTACTGGCACCATGTACATAGTACTGGCACCATGTACATAGTACTGGCACCATGTACATAGTACTGGCACCATGTACATAGTACTGGCACCATGTACATAGTACTGGTATGTACTGGCACCATGTACATAGTACTGGTGCGTACTGATGTACTTTAGACCTTTAGTCTAAGCCTAAGCCTAAGTCTAACCTTCAGCCGTTAGACTGAAAGTCGCGAAATCCTAGCTACTTCCATCCTATTTTGAACTTGATTTAACTCGCCAGCTCCAAGTCCACTTATTAGACTATTTAAAGAATCAGAGATCTTTTATAGGTCGGTATTCTGATGAATCAAAAGCTCATCGTGCGCCTTGGACCCGATCAACCCGATCCACGGCACACCGACAATTTTGCAAACGTTTGTCGCGTTCAAGTAAGGAAAATCCCGAAAATTTGACAATAACCGAAAGAAAAGGAATTTCAAGCTTATTTTAGACAAGAAATTTAACGATGCGAACGAATGCGTCAATTGATGAATGCCTGGATCACGTGATTGGGGAAGTGCTGCGAGCGTTGGAGACAAAGGTTTGCTGAGGGAAATATCGGTTACCATGCTTGTAGTTACAATTTTACATCAAGCAAGTATCCAACACGACCAGAGCAGTCTCTCAGGCGAAAACTTGGGTAATTAAACCAGCCTAGCGACCTCTCCGGTCACTCAACCCAAAGCCGTGTGCCAGACGCCGCTTTTTCCGAGGAGCGACATGAAAAGAGCGCACAGGGACAGGTGCGTTCTTTCTATGTCGCTCGTAGGAAAAAGCGGCGTCTGGCACACGGCTTTGGGTTAAGTGACCGGAAAGCCCCCTCGTCCGGTTTAATTACCCAAGTCTGTGTGTCAAAAGTCGTTCCTTTCCAAAAGTCGATTATGGGCAAAGGAGAGATTTGGCTGTAAAGTATTCTGAGGGTTTTCGGGGTCGGCGAATCGATTGAAGCTCTTGTTTTTTCTCAGAAACAGAGAATTGGGTACAAAATGAGGTCTTTTCAGACGCAAGGCCGTGGCACGCACAGTGTTCTCGAGTTGTTCCAATTTCCCGCCTTAGAAGCAGTACTGAAAACACATCAGGTACGCAAATGAATCGATTTCTCAAGCTCAACCAACGAAATATGAAATTCCAGGTGAACCCGTGCAGTGAGATGGACTCCGGTGGATCGGAGGGAGCACAAGAGGTATGGTAGATCCTTTCTGGGTACTTGTGGGGTAAAGTCTCATTCCCCTTGTGCCATATGTCATCTAAAGCTTTCCAGTTATGGTCAATCGAATTTCCGAATTCAGTTCCCGTGAAAATTTCCAGGTCCACTCGACTTTCGTCTGCGATTTCCACAACGCAGTCTCCGTGCAAACCGATTTCAACGCACAAGTCTCTTTTCTGCCAGATCTTCTGAAGAGTTATATGAAAACGCATCAACAGGTCAGCTACAGTAACCCGTTCTCTGTAGGGGAAAGCTACAGTAACCCGTTCTGTGTAGGGGAAAGCTACAGTAACCCGTTCTCTGTAGGGGAAAGCTACAGTAACCCGTTCTGTGTAGGGGAAAGCTACAGTAACCCGTTCTCTGTAAAGGAAAGCTACAGTAACCCGTTCTCCTCCAAATTTCCTTTGTTTAGAGATCATAGAGCATTTGGTAACCTGAGAAGTCTAGATCTCAAGATGCTCAAGGCTTACTTCATTCCAGGCTTTACTGACTTTAGGCTATAGATCTGTAGTAGCTGTAGTACTCCTTGTCTAAGTTCTAAACCAGCTGAGCCTGAGCCTGAACCAAAGCCAAAGCCAAAGCCAACAGCAAGCAAACCAACAAAATTCTTTTATCAGATGTTTACATTGTGAAGGCTTATCTTACTGTAGTATTAATACAGTAAGATAAGCCTGTCTAGTAAGACTCTTCCAGTTTTGTCCTTTTCTAGGAGAGCTCCACCTCGTCAACTTCTTCCTCAACTTCTCTATCTCGTGATCATCGAATCTTTAAATGTGAGCAATGGACAGTCGATCCGAAAATTCGTTTCATCGATCGAATCAAATGGAATCCCCCGGTGATCGATGAGGTTTTAAAGAAGTTACAGGTTGGATTGACATAAAATTGACTGCAGTACGCTACAGTAGACTTCGACAAACAAAACCAAAACCAAAACAGACCAAAACCAAAACCAAAACCAAAAACCAAAACCAAAACAAACCAAAACTCAATTTGCATATAAATTAACATGTAAATTTAAAATTGTAAAATGCAAATTTTAATGTAAAATGCAAATTTAAAATTGTAAAATGCAAATTTTAATGTAAAATGCAAATTTTAATGTAAAATGCAAATTTAAAATTGTAAAATGCAAATTTAAAATTGTAAAATGCAAATTAACCTTTCATTTTTCTCACTCCACAAAATCTCGCGGCCGAAAAAAAGACCAAAACACGACCTCGAAATTTCGAAACAAAAAATAGCCTATGGGATAGATTTTTGGATGCTGATTTCAAATCTGCAAACAGATTTTTTTCGCTAGCTCCTCCCAGTCGCGAGATATTGGCGAGTTTTGGTTTTGGTTTTGGTTTGTTTTGGTTTTGGTCTTGTTTTGGTAGTTTTGGTTTTGGTTAAGTTTTGTTTTCCGAAGTCTACGCTACAGTACATAGTACGCTACCGTCGCCTTATCCTTATCTAGTTTACATTCATGAATTCAATCGCGATTTCAGATCTTCGATCACCGCACAACGATTCCGAAGTCTCTTCAACGTGCTTTATTAGATCCATTGGATGTTTTATTAGCTGTTTTAATGAAAGAAATGCTCATCATGGCTTCAAAAGGATAGAATTTTTGTCAAATTGTCAAACAGAAATGTTCTTTTCTTTCAATTTTGATTTCCCAGTGATTCCCAAAGCTCTTCATTCATTTATGGGTATTTTAGTCATTACTTTTAACGTTTTTCGATTTCGATTCGATTTAATAAACGATTTTTGAGAAAAAAAAGCATCAACTGGGAAATTTTTGTCATTTTTCATTGAAAACAAAAATGTAGCAGTACTTTGTGGTTAAATGGAAGATTTTGTATACTTTTGGACTAAAATGGAGTCGATATTTGGATTTCTGATAGTCGATAACCTTTAAACGACATATGACACGAAAGTGGAGGCAAAAGAGGCTAGGGTACAGGATGGGGGCTGGGACTGGGGCTGGCTCTGGGTCTGGGTCTGGCTCTGGGTCTGGGTCTGGCTCTGGGTCTGGCTCTAGGGCTGGGTCTGACCCTAAGGGTCCCCAGTCACCCTAAGGGTTTGAGCTTAACAGCTATCCGGAACCTAAAAAGCCAGTGCATTTATGCATTTAAAGCATTTAAAGTTGATATTAGAATCAGCATTTTGTCCAATTTGCTCCAAAAACTCCAAAAAAGCATTTATTTCGAGAATTTGCATTGTAATCCTTAGAAGATATACCCTCCAGTGGGACTTGTTTGTGGATTCTGTGCAGGTGGCTGTTCTCCACCATATCCTGTATTCGATGCCTGTGGTCCGGTTGGTGCAGGTGGCTGCTCTCCACCATATCCTGTATTCGATGTCTGTGGTCCGTTTGGTCCTCCATTTGGTCCATTTGGCCCGTTTGGCCCGTTTGGTCCATTTGGATGATCGCCGAAAGTAGCCACGGTGCTCCTTGAGGGGAAATTCTTTTAGTTTATAATCTACAGAAGCTCTTACCTTGGTGGACATGGACAATATGCGGCGTCGGATCCCGGGGCACCGTCCTGTAAATTTTCGAGTACGGTAGTCGAGTTTGAGTTGAGTTACAGTAACCCTGCTACAGTCTAATTATTGGCTTTTCCCGCTACAGTAGCCCTAGAGTAAGTGAGGATAAGAGTAGGTGAGGATACAGTAATCTTGGATTACTGTATCCTCACCTACACTAACCCTAGTGTCCCTAAAGTCATTGATTACTAGGAGTCTTTGATCGTTTAGATCCCAAAGACGGTATCTGACTACATAAATCCTATTCCAAAACTAGCAGAACCCTGAAAACCCACGATTCCAGCATCTCCAGCATCTCCTGGTTGTCCGGGTTGTCCATTGTTTCCCGGTTGCCCTGGTCCTCCGGGTGCTCCCTGATTTCCAGGGTTTCCATTTTGTCCAGGTTGTCCGGCTCTTCCAGGCTGTCCGGGTTGTCCCTGGGGTCCCTTGGGGCCAGGCTGACCATGACCGCGTTGTCCGTTTCGACCCTAGAAACTCATCATTGTACAGCCTTTTGTAATCTATTCTAGACAACTCAAAAACACTCAACCGGTCCTCCAGGTTGTCCCTTTCCTCCGGGGTTTCCATTTTGTCCAGGTGTTCCAGCCATTCCGGGTGGTCCTTGATCTCCGTTCTTTCCTGGTTGTCCATCATCTCCTGGTTGACCGGGAGTGCCGGCTGGGCCTGCAGGTCCATCAGGTCCAAAGGGTCCTAAATCATCGAGAATAGATTGCTATTTCTGAAACCAATTTCCCATACAAGTACAGTATCTAGGTGACCTAGTGAATGCGTATTAGCTTTCCGTCTTAAGCACTATTCTTTCTCACCTGGTGGTCCGGGTGGGCATTTCTGGCAGTCCTTTGGCACAAATGGATTCTCTCCAATGCGTTCTCCTTTGCGTCCAGGATTTCCCGGTTGTCCGGGGTTTCCATCAGGGCCTGAGTCTCCATTTGGTCCCTAAAACATTTCGCTGTTGCTCTAACATTGTCAAAGAAGCCTGTCAAAGAAAAAAGCCTACAAACCTTTGGTCCAGGTGGTCCTTGTGGGCAACTCTGTGGTGGTGGAGAGCATTGGCACTTATCTCCAGATCTCTTATGACGCCCGTTCACGAAAGAGTTCAAATTTCTCGGCATACTGTGTCCATTTCCCATCGTCATCCCGATCAACATATCCTCCCAAGCACCATTTGCTGATACCTAGAATATTGTAGTAGATACAGTAGATACTGTAGATACCATAGTACTGTAGTACTGTAGTACTGTAGTACTCTAGTACTCTAGACAATTTACAGTACTATTCGCTAATCTAATAGTAAGCACCCTAATTGACTACTGTACTTTGTTCTCTTTCTTAAACGCCTCCTCTCTAGCGTGCTGAACTCTTCATTTTTCAGCGATTTCATGAGGAAAGCAAAGAATTCAGTGCACCAGAAAGGTAGCGTTTAGCCGTAAGCACAGAGCGGGCATGTCTAAGCTTTCATTCCAGCTTTATTTCTACAGCTATTTCCAAATCTGGAGATTTTTGGGGATTTCTCACCTGGAATTCGATCAAATCCCTCCTTGCCTCATCATAGAAATCATTGATCTCTTGATAGAGAACTCCAACGGAAATCAGGGCAACAAACGCCACAGCACCACAAGCCACCGAGGTAAGAGTGACGAGAACTTTTGTCCCACCGGAAGACATCTGAACTTGAATTTTAAACGAGAATTTCCAAGTTTCAAGGCAAATACAAAGTGCGGCAAGTAAAGCAATAAAGTAAATGATGCGTTTTGAGGGGGAAAAGCTACCATAGCTCGCAGTGTTTTTATCACATTGAATTGAACTAAGTGAGAGTTCAAAAACTAAATCATAACGGACAAAAATCTAAGGAAAGGAGTTTCCTGTAGTTTAGTTTACTGTTTTCCCCAAATAAGTCACCCTTTTAGAAAGAAAAGATATTTGAATAAAAAGGCTAAAGAAATAAATCTCAAAGTCAAATAAAGCTGAGCTTTATTGTGAAAAGAAAAATGATTTCCCATTCCGAACATCATCGACTAACGCTTTTATATGCAATTTTGCCCACTTTGACACTTTTTCTTTCAAATTTTTTTCACAAAAAAGTTCGCCCGCCTTTCATTTTTGGCACTCTTTCCCTTTTTCTTCAATGTTTTTTGTGCTGGGATTTGGGTGGTAATTTCGATTTTCCCCTTTTGTCTTTCAAAATGTCATTTTTTGGCGAAGATTTTCGGAGCGAATGAGAAAGTGATGTGAAAGTGAAGTGGATTTGGGATTTCCTTTTGATTCATTCTCACTTAGCTAGTCCCTTTTTCTAAAATTTTTCCCCATTTTGACAAAAACTACCATACTACTTGAGTAAATAGAGTGAATGGAAAGACGAAAAGTTTATGGTAGTTTGTGTACGGTATCCAAAAGGATTACGATGATTTTTGTACGGTACTCAAACGGATTACGCTAGTTTCATGTAAGGTATCTAAAAGACGCTCTGCCTAACATACTCTTTCAGTTTTACCTTATCTTTGTCATAAAGATAAGCCTCACCTCAAAAAAAAACATTGCCTCAACCCATTTACATTCATATCCACCTTTTTTTTGCACTCTGATCACTCTTTTGCCAAAAACACATTTCATTTCGATTCTTTTATCCATTTCCAAAGGAAAAGACACAAAAAAATCCTTGCTTTTCGGCTAAGGGAAACTCTTAACGCCATTTCTTTCCAAAGATTGGGTAGATTTGAACTTAAAATGGGTTGGTGGGGGAAAAGGGGGAAAAGAAATGAAGGAATTCTCACCCCGTAATTGCTTTTCTTTACCAAGCCGAACACCCCAGAAAACATCTAATCAATCACTTAGCGGATGATTACTTTTACCCTTAATAATATTGGCTGAACAATAATTGGTGTTTCAACCTGGCGGCGCCACTTTACATAAACCTGAAGAAATTTGTTGAACGGAAAAGTTCCTATCGCTTTTGTCTCAACCATCACCTAAATTTTATTGATGCCCCATAAAATAAAGAAAGTCCGACAAGCTGATGTCTCGTCCAACCAATGCGTTTTCTCGATTTTTGATTTTATCGGACATTTGCCTGATAATATTAGCGTACAAAACAAAAAGCCATGTAGAATTCGCATTCTTAACCCAAATTTTATTCAAACAGAGAACTTGCATTTCAGGAGAAAACACATAATGAAACAAGGAAAAACCACCCAACAAGTCACAAAATGGAATAATTTACGAATATGAAAAGGAGACAAAATAAATTAGCCTAACAATTTCACGGAAAAGTTGAAACGCTTAAACAATCGTTTTGCCACAAGAAAACCCAACGCAAAATTCAGCAAATTTTCGAGTTTTCTTGTTAGAAAAACAATTTCCCATCAAAAAAAACAAGTCTAATATTTCATCACAACAACAAGAACAATCTCTCACCTAGTCCATTCTCTCTACGATTTTATTCATACATCGCAATCAGATACATCATCCAGATACCGACCAACAAAGCGATGATTTCTTTAATCGTTTGCCAAAGCGACGAATTCTCCAACAACTCCGGAATCACCGAAACGGTGGCGATGTAGATGAAGCCTGAATGAAAAAGTAGGATTAATAAGTATTAATATTTTCCCTCATTCAATCCATAAACCATTCACTACAAGATCGCTGTTTTAGGGCCGACCGTTTTAAAACAAGATACTGCTCTAAAAAAATGACTGGGGAAGTTTACAGTTTTTCACCTTCTTTTAAAATGGACCAGTTTTTTGGGTTAAAAATTAAAAACAGAACGATACCTCCAGCGGTAAACGGAAGCACCCAAGATGTAGCCGCCGCATCAGCCAAGCCAACAGCCCCATCAGCCGACCATAGAGCCAAAACGCAACCCGATAAAGCACCCAACGCGGTCACCAATTGGATCAACATTGCCTAAAAATGAAAATTGTGAAATGTTCGTACAAAAGCATATTATAATTCCATAATTTTACTCACCTTTTTCTTCGTGTACCCGGATTGAACCAAGATCGCAAAATCGCCAATCTCGTGTGGAATTTCGTGGACGAGAACCGTCGCCATCGTGACAATGCCTAAAAAATTAAAGATTAACACTCTTTTTGGCCCATTCAGCGCCAATAACCTATTGAATCTACAGATTCACTCACCGATCGTCGTGCCAGCAATAAACGATGCTCCGATAGCCAAACCGTCGGTAAAATTGTGCGCAAAATCGGCGGCCAGATTCAAATAGGCGGCAATCTGAAAGTGCACAAATGATTTTAAAGCAACGAAATCTGACAATTACCACTTTAGATTAAAGCAATCGCAGTCTTTAGTAAAAAAGATGCAATATTTAGAAACAACAATCAAAACCAAAGCAAGGTTCTTGGTCAGGTCCAGCAAGATCAAGCAAGTTTCTTCCAGTTTCGGGTATTATCCGTTAAAAGACTGATAAACTTTCTTCTAGCTATCTATAAATCAATTCACATTTTGGCCGACACGGTGATCTCTCAGCACAGAACCGGTGTTGGAGCTTAAACAAGACCACACAAAAGCTATTAGTTCTTACACCTTCCTATATATCCTCCATCAAACGAACCTTGATACCCTCATGTTCGTGTGAATGTTCTTTCTCTTCTTCTCCTTCATCGCCCGTTCCTTCATCGTCCGAACTCTTCGCTTTCTTTCCTTTTCCCTTTTGTTGTTTCTTCTCCTTTTTCTAAAGAAAGAATATGATTAAACTGGTTTGACAACTAGGTACCTAGGTACAATTATCTCAGCGTTTACACATCTTTACATCGTTTTCACGTATTGCAAAATTAGTTCACCTCGTTGCTATGTCCATGCGAGTGTCCATGTCCACCGCCACCCCGCAAAATTCGCAACAGCTTCTCGATGAACAGGAAAGCGATGATACCTGCAATGACCAACATAGTTTATTATCTAAACTAAACAAACTCCTAGTAAAGAAACAGTTTTCTAATCGCCCTCATCAGCGCTAAAAGTTTTCTGAAAGTAGTTTTAAATGGTCCCCGTGTGAGAAGATTTGAGTTTTTGAATTAATTCACCATTCTTTTTGTTTCCCATCGATTCTCAATCCGTTAATTAACTTCACTTACCAGCAAGCACTCCTCCACCAACGGACATGTCGTGTGGTCCATGTGAATGACCGGCCTCGTGTGAGTGAGAATGCGAATGACTGTGACCACCTGAAAAGAATTGAATCGAACTGTATACATTCGGCTTTAGATTGGAAAACGATTTATGCTTATCACTCACCATCAGCCGGTTGTGCATGCGGAATCAAATGAAGAAACGCGTCACCGAGAAGACCACCCGAACCAAACGCCAATAAAACCTTCAAGAAAGGACCCGAGTCGGAGGTGTTAGCCTAAACAAATAAAATTACAAGAAACTATTGAATTCTCATCATCTACAAAGTCCTACACGTCTATAAAACTATCAAGCGCATCGTTTTGTTTATAAAATTTAATTAAGCTAATCTTTTAAGCAGATTAGATACAGGCAATCTGATGAGTAAGATTGCAGAATTCTTTCAAATTTTGCAAAAACATCGTTCACACCTGAATGGGAATAAAGAGCAAAATGAAGAATGGAGCGATCGAGATGAGAAGAGTCGCACCAATCGCGTAAACCCATAGTCGAGTATGTGGGCAGTTGAGGAAAGAGAGAGCGCTAAAACAAAAAAAATAACATGTTTGCCTATTGATTGAATAGCCGGATGGTTCTAGAAATAATCCACAACAGTCTAAGATTGTACAAACATTTCCAAACTAAAACTAACCCCTCAAACTTTTGTTGTGAGTCGACCGGCTTAGACGTTTCGCGTTTCGTTCGACTTTCCGATGGTGATCCATGACTAAATGGTGAAAATAATGGGTTCTCAAAAGGCGCAATACCTGTGCCCATGTGCATTTCCCTCATGAGAGTGTCCGTGTGGTTCATGTGAATGCGCATGTGGATCGTCGTGAGAATGTCCGTGTGGTTCGTGGCTAAAAGGAAACGGTTATCTCATGTAACTTTTCAGACTTGAAGCTATAATGCGCAACTTTCAACACATAGCACTAACACGACACTATGAGCTTGATGTGTTACGGAACTTCATTCGCATGCTTCGAGTTGCAAGTTACGAGCAAAAGTCACAAGCACGCAGGTTTTTCAAAGTTCCAAACAAACCCACCTATGTTGATGACCCTCATCGAAATGATCGTGCGAATGCCCGTGAACGGCTTCCTCCTCGGCGTCACCGTGGCTAAAAATTAAATTTATATCCTTTAATATTTGTTTATAAAAATTCCACTTTAAGTTGAATACAAGAGAAAAATCTAGAACAAGCTGGTTAACTCTAAAGTTCATGTAACCGTATCCATCACATCTTTTACACTCACCTGTGCGCATGTGGACATTTCCCTCCCGTATGAGAGTGTCCGTGTGAGTGTACATGTCCGTGATCCTCTTCTTGGACTGCCTAAAATTTCAAAAATCAAAAATGAACCGGTACAGTTAAAACAACCTGTGCGCCAATCCATTTTACCCCGCCCCACTCACCTGTTCATTGACTTCTCTCGAGTATTTCATGTGTGGAGCCTCATGACTATGCGAATGTGCATTGATTGATGAGATGAAGAGGGCCGATAATGAGACGAAAATCAACGATGATGGCCGCATCGTTTTCCTTTGTTTTTCACCCAAGATCTACCTGAAATCAGCAACTTTACTATATAAACCGAATACCGTTGAAAATTACAAGTTATCGAAAAGTGCAATAAGAAAGTCAATTTTGTTTCAAATTTAGTTACCAAATCTTTAAAATTATAAATTTCACATGGATTTCCACAAATATAACGGTCAATTGACCCATTCAGACAAACAAGTTAAAAAATTGTGCACACTTTATTCAACTCAAAAGCGAACATTAAGAAAAGGAGAACAGGCGACAAAAAAAGAGCATGAGTATCAGTCACAAAATAATAAAACCAACCGGATTTTTGAAAAAAAGCAATTCTAGGGTTAACCTTACTAGAAAATGAAATCTGACCTGTAGTCCCCAAAAAAATTTACACGTTTACACAAAACCCGATCTTCAATATCGATGTTTTCTGATGGTTGCCCCACTTCCGGTGAAAGCGTTTCGAATCGGCTCGCCTGCCGCTTTCTCCCGTTCGTTTTTCTCTTTCACTTGCACCTCCCGGCATCTGTAATCGTAGCGCACGAAGCCGAGTTGACCCGGTTGATAATCGGTGATGCAAAATGGAGCTGGGATCTCGGCCTCCTGGAGCTTTTCCTGAAAAAAAAGTTTATTCGGAACAAACTAGCATTATCGATAAACATCAAAACCGCTAAAAGTTTCGTGAGATGAGGAGGATCATATGGAATTTTGGAGCATGGCTTTTTAGCACCTTGTTGGAACAACCCCACTTTCAAATGGCTTAACTCCAACCTTTACTGACTTTGAGACGTTGCAATTAAACCAAAAAGTGTACCTGATTTTGTGAGATCAACGAGCCAGACGATGGCGTTTTCCCATCCAATCGCATTCCACCGCCACCAAATGGAGTGAACGCTTGTGCGGCTGCGGGGAGAAGTGGAGCTGGTGGTTTCACTGTTGACGAGGATGGACCCTGTTCGTTGTAACTTGGTTCCTGAAATAGAAATATTATTCCAGACCTATTCCATAAGATATTCTAGTTATTACTAATAGCCAGCTGAGCTTCTAACTATTTATGTGTCGTTAGCCAGAATTTAATTTTCTTAAACTAGGCAATACTTGAATAATATTCTTCATCAACTTGTCAAGACAATGTCTGGGCCACTCACAGTCAATAATTATTCATATTTTACCTGATATCCCTCTGGCGCGTCAAACTCCAAATTGACATCACATTCAATAATGCACACGGCGTTTTGCGGCTTCAAATCTTGCACCACCAACTCGAGCGGCTGATCATTGTAAACGACACGGATTCGATCGTTTTTCGTCAAACAAGCCCATTTGCGAAGTTCCACCTAAAGAGAATCTCATTATCTTCCTGCAAAGGAAACAACTGTAAACGTACCTCAAGCATGGCTCTCGGGTTGGTGATATGGAGAAAGTCGAGCGATTGTGGCTTCAGCTTTGCGTAGGTGGCCTTGGGAAGTTGAACGGATTCCAAACGAATGTCATCCCCTTCCTTAAGTGAAAATAATTGTAATTGATTTACTAGATCATTTTTTTGCTAGTTTAACAGTTTAACAGTTGCAATGAACTTGAGCCCAACAGAAGCTAGAAGTTCTATAAGTGAAAGTACCTTTACCATTCTATGCCCTTAATTTAGCCTTTAGAGCGCTGAATAACTGGAATTTAATATTCATTAGACAGTATTAGACTGTTTGACGGCGCAATAACGTTTTAAGGGTACAAAAATTCTGGATATTTATAGGTATATAAAACGTGCGAAATTTTCCGCATCATGCCCCGTTAAAATAGACTACTCATTGGTAGTACTACGAAAATGCTCAAAAACCCAGTCTTTTCAGATCCTGTATTACCTTGATAGCTTTGATCATTACACAACTCTCACCTCCAATCCCAATTGCAACATAATCCATTGCGGAAGATAGCATCGTCCCTCTTCGGCCGAGAACTCCAAAACGCCGCAATGTGTGGCACGCTGGCGATCAGACGATGGGTTCATCACCTAAAATCGACAAATTTAAACTTTTAATCAGTAAAAAAACTTATTCTTTACCACAAGCACAAAATTTAATGACAAAAAAGTATTTGCGCATTTAGAAATTAACTTAGAATTAAGATTTTGACTAATAAGGGTTTGAATATCACGCCAAGACTGTCCGCCTTTAAAAACCCCACCTTAAAAAGCATGACCGATTGCTGATTGTTTAGCTGAAGCATGTGGTCGAGGATTGAAGCCGGGAGAATCGCCTTTCCACCGTGTTGGATCTCTTGGATCTTCTTCGTGTCAGCCTAAACATAAAAAGTTTGTTAAGCTCAAAAAATATCGCGCGAAGCACTAAGGCAAGAATTTTTAAGTCGACTTAAAATATGTTCAAATTGAAACTGTAAAAGTTCAAAAACTTTGTTCTAAACAAATCAGTCCGTTCCTCAATTTTGACCCCATCAAACCGTGCTCACCTGAACAAAATAAACGGCGGAAAAAGCCCTCAATTGACACCCATACGATGACGGTCCTCCACCCATTCCCGGCATGAAAACGCCCGCCATATTCTCGCGCAACCAGTGCTGCATGTTGTCTGAAATTAAGACATTTATATTTGAAATATGGATTTGAAAGAAATGAAATGAATTTGAAGAAATTCAAGAAAAACTTCGACAGATCCGTCTCGAAAAAGAGACACGGCGCAAAGTCAACAAAAAGACAGCGGTGCAATTGTGATGGGAAGAGAATTTAATGGGTGCTTCCAAAAAGCACCCATTTTACCGAAAACTACCGTTCTCAAACCATTTAGTCCTCATTCAATCAGCCCAATTTTGGTCACAATCGATAAGACTCAGTGAATGATACCAAAATTGGGCTGATTAAATGAAAACTAGGCGGATTAATTACGGTAGTTTGTCTAAAATAAGGTACCTTGTAAAAAACAGATTAGAGGAACGCAATCGATTTGAATATAAAGTGTCTATAAAAGTTCTCTTTTGCAATGTCATCCACTTCCCTCTTTCCACTACAAGCTACAATACATCTCGTTGGCCATTTTTCGTTTCTTTTTCTTCTTTTAACAGACACTCCATGTTTTCACGGAGTGTCCTGTAGTCGTTCTACGACAGAAATGGGTCAATTTTACTTGGGATTCGTCCATTTTTCACCGAATCAAGGTCGATTCGGTCAAATGAAAAAACTTTCCGAAAAGGAATTATCTATTGCTTTTGATATGAAACTGGACAAAATTTTGGCTTCTAATAAATTGAGACTGTCAGCCATCTTTATGACCATTTGGCAAAAGCGCCATGTTTTTTGAGCCGTGTATCATTTGCGCCATGTAACAAATCACTTTTCCCCAACTTCTAATCAACTTTTTTTTCAGTTTTCTGCTTCACAATTTTAGTTCTCACTGTTTTCAATCAGAAAAAAACGTTTAAATACACATACAGCCCCAAAAACAGTCATTTTTGTGTCCCCGATTGGGCTTTTTACTCTCTATCGGTCTTATGCCATTTTCAGATCCGGTGAAGGCGGCAAAGTAGCGAGCACCGTCGACGAGGAAAAACTGAAAAAAATTATAAATGGTCAATCAGAGTTGGTAGGAAAGTGTGTTGAAAAGCGCAAATGATACGTGGCAAAAACAATTTGGCGCTTTTGCTAGCACCTCCCTTTAAACTGTCAAACTTGAGACAAAATTTGTGCATGATTTGGCTAGCAAACTTTGTCAAATGATAAAATATCCTAAACCAATTAAATTTGCTTATTTTGCCAGGATATCTTTTTTGACACAAATCATAATTTCCTTTAAAAAAAACTTAAAAACAAACAATTTATTAGTCTCAAGACTCTCTCTTGCCTTCACTTCAAGTAAAAAAAACGAACAACACAATATTATCACCGACAGAGACAGAAAAGAAAAGAAAAACGAATTAATATACAGAAATGACACTTGTACGAACAAAAAAACGCTCTTTAAAACACGAAAACCCAGAAAAATGTGAAGAGAAACGAGGAAATTGGCACCATTTTTAAAAAACAAAAAGCAATGAGCAGTGCGGAATAAAATTATGGAGAATTACACTGAAAAGAAATGTGGGGGTTTGGATGTTATTAGATTTCGGAGTTAAGAAAAGAGATGCGCGTGGGAACGGGAAACGGACTAATTATTTGCTATTTACGTTCATGTCGTCGTAGGATATCCACTGAAATTTTGAGTTTTCCTTAGAAATATCCGTGATTAAAGCCCAGTGCCTAGTCTCTAGCCACCAACAAAATATATGTCGCAGCCGCTTGCGATTCTCAGCCGCTACGACATATATTTTTTCATAAAATGTTTTGAAATTTGAATTTAAAAACCCATTAAGCATCACAATCCCCAGATTCCCTTGCACAAACTGTACAGCAAAAAAAAGGAGAAATTTAAATTTGGCCGGCTAGCGAGATCTTTATATGCGATTTTTAGCAAGAAAGTTAATGCCTGTTCACAAACGTTCATTGGTGAATAAAAGAGATCAGCTCTATGTAATTTTAGTGTCATTTTACGCAGGATCATCAAATCCATAAAGCTATTAAGCACGTTATACACCTATGAACGTTTCAGGGATTCAAATGGACCAAATTAAGTTATCAAACAAAACGCCGAGCAATTCTGACCAGGAAAAGCTAAAGATGGAAGAATTGTAACCGTATTGCGCATGGAGTTCAGGGAAAAACAGACCACAAAACTCACAAAAGGGATTCTCTGCATAAAATGTAAGGTAAACCCCTACGAGATTTCGTGGACTGCTTGAAGAAAAAACAAGGAATTTACCCTCCCCCCGAATTTGGACGTGATGAAGCGGATGTGTTTGTGGCGGTGGATGAACGAGAGCTCGATTGTTGATGTGATGATGATGACGATCCTCCCTCACTTCCACTCGCAACTCCGCTACTTCCATCGCGACTCATCCGTTCGCCCCCGCTCAAGTGATGAAGGCGATCGTTGTTGTTGTTGTACATCGTGAAACTAAAAGAACAAATTGAAAAATATATATGTTGTGTCCGATTTAGACTCAATCTAAATCGGACGTCTTATATAGATTAAACAAAATATAAACATGTTTATATAGCTAGCGTTTCTGAGTTTTCTGCATTTTCAAAGGTCTGTCGTCTTTTTCTGAAAAGAAAACCCAACTTGAAATAATCAATAAAAGACCTTTGAAAATGCAGAAAACTACAGAAAACGCTTAAGAACATATACTAAACATGTTTATATTATTGTTCAATCTATATAAGACGTTCGATTTAGATTGAGTCGTCCGATATAGACTGTAATCTAAATCGGACGGAAATCTAAATCGGACACAACATATATATATATATTGCAATTACTTAATTCTAAATGGTCAGCACTATTTTTAGCACTGTGCATGTGCACTTTACTCAATTGTGTCCAAGGTACGTTTACAGTTAGCTGTGTCCAAGGTGATGAAAGATTTTGAGCAGTATAATTCGAGCTTTTGGTACAAGGTTTAAAACGGGTGGAGCCCAAAAGTTTTCCTCCAAAATAAATTGCTATCCCTGATTGACATGTCAAACGTATTTTCAAGGTTGAACTTGATCCAAAAAACCCCAAAATGTCACCCACAGCGTTCCATCAGTATCCTCGATCATCACCGTTCCCTGAAATCTATAGAATTAAAAACAAATCATATGCTTATTAACCTCATCATCCGAATCCTCATCTGGAGCCACAAAAACCACTTCCAAATCGAGATCGCCTTGCTGAGATGACAGAATCTCGACAGCTTCATGGTGTTTTACATTCCGGATATCGATTCCATTCACTGACAGAATCGCGTCACCGACAAACACATTTCCGCAACTAAATTGAAAAGCTTAGTTGTAGCTTTTCAATCAAACCGATCAGCTGGTTGTCCTGGTTGTATCTCGGAGATCACAATTGGAAGAGCATGCTCAGAACCGCCCTGAAACGGTAAAAATAGAGTTCCATATGTGAGCTTAAAGCCTAGTATGGCCAGAGCTAGGACAAGTCAATCTTTAACAGAACCTGTGTGTATCAAGAGTTAAAAATCAATTATTACTATACAAGGTTGCCTTGATTATACCAGGAAGTTTTAAGAGGCTAAACAGCAAAAAAATTATCAAAACCCATACCGTAATCGAGATGCCCAACCCTTCATGTGGATGTTTGGGCAGTGTAATTCGTCGTGTCTCTCCGACTCCTTTCCTTTTCCTCAACACGGCGCAGTCCTCGATTCGGGGGCACGATAAAGCTTTTGTTTGACCTCGACCCCTGAACGAATAAAATATTAAATTGAATCAATCATCAACAATTTCTCGACACTAAATTACAAAAGTAGACTGCTAAGTCGCAGTATTTCTCATTCACACTACTATAGTAAAAAGGCTCTACACTGGAAGCGGGACTTTTCAAATGTTTAGGAAATTTTTCAAAGTTTTGTGGACTCTTCAGAATAAATTGCAAGTTTGTTTTGTGATTTTCACATTAACATTTATTGTCTGCACTCTCCTTTCTGCTTTCTCTCAAGGGGAAAGCAATGTACATTTCGTTTCAAGTTGCAAAGTATACATGTGTGGAGAAGAAAGAGAATAAGTACATTGCTTTCCTCCTTGAAAGAAGGATGACACCAGAGTGCAGAAATTAAACTGTTAATGTGAATACCACAAAACAAACTTGCAAATTATTCTGAAGAGTCCCCAAAACTTTGAAAAATCTTCCAAAATCCCCGCTTCCAGTAGGAAGCCGTAAAAAGTATTCAGTCGAACAGCCCCAACATCATCAGTTTGTCAAATACTCTTACTCTGACGGCTGTAGTGAGAGCAGGTTAGTACAGTATTCCAAAGTGCAACCCACTCACCGACAAGCCCTGATCACGGTTTTGTGTCGATGCAGATGAATCTCGGCCTCCAATTGATTCCATAAACGATCGTGCTCAACGCCGCGCATGTTCCGGCCCAACAACTGGATTTGTTGAATACGACCAGCCAATTCCTAAAAGAAAAACACAATTTTAAAAAAATTTTTACCATTAACCTTATCTAAATACTTTGCGGCTAGTCTTGCTCCAAAAACTTCATTCTCCAGTGCGGCAATTAAACGTTTCTGACGATCGGCATCTCGTTGTAGTTGTTGGATCTAAAATTTAAATTTAAATTGACAAGAAAATTTAAGAGATTTATAGTTGCAATGATCAGTTATTTGGATCTGAAATCTTTTTTGAATCGAGCTCAATTAGAAGAGAAACTTCAGACATTGGACCGACAATTCTTGATTTAAAATCCTTTTAGATTTTTTTTCAAAGACCATTAGTGTTCCAACAAATTTTCCCTCTGGCATCATTTTTCCGTGCCAAAAAAAGAGCTTTCAAATCGATTTTTCACTTCTTCCTTTTTAATAACAATGAATCACATCAAAGTGTTCATTGTGTCAGTAAAAAAGAGCAATAAATCATGTTCAAAAAACCGTCTTTTGTCAAAAAAAACCTGTTTTTCCTTTCTAAACACCAACTCTTTTCAATTACTCTGACTAAGTCTTCATTTTATAAAAAAACTACTTATTATCAAAAGTTCCTATTTTCCTATCTCAGATTTTTGATATTTTTCCTAAACGATCTTATCAATACTTTTTTCGGTGCAAGATCAGCGTTGACCGCTTGATTGTGTGATAAGATCAATTCTTGTGCCGACTTTTTGCCCCAAAATTATTTTTTAAGCTGTTTCTTCGCTTGTTTCTGTTTACTTTTTGCAATCATTTGTAATTAAGTTCTTTTCAGCCACATAATTCTTTTTTTGTAAGCATTTACTCTTATTTACTCTCTCGTTTAAAAAACACACTGGTTTCAGTTTCCCTGTGGCAGACTGGCTCTTTAACTCTTAAACCTAAAATTTCCCCTTGAATCATGAGCTCCACAAAAAGTCTAGCGCCAGTCTTGGCCCTCGTTGGATGCACGAATTCCGGGAAAACCACGATCGCAAGATGCCTTGTCGATACAGTAAGTCAAAATTCACAAAGACTCCAAAAATCAGCCCTTCTAGATTCAAAAGCTCGGCAAAAGTGCGGCAATGATCGAACAAGATGATGACTACTTGTTGGCTCATCAAGTGAACAAAGAGTTTAGCAGATAAATAGATTTTAGGTCGAAAAAGTTCCCCGCAAACACAATCCCGACGATTTCTACTATCATTACGATCAAATTTCGGCACTAAACGTGGGGGGACTCGAAAAAGTGGGCAAAACCAGGATTTTTGGTGAACAAGTCTTTAGCGACTACTAGAAGCTCGTCAGAAAGCAGATTTTGTAATAATTGAAGGCAATATGATCGCCGAGATCAAAGAAATCATGCAACTCGTCGACAAAGTGATCTTCTTTACCATCGATCAAGTGAGTAAAATTAAGCTAATCCTAAACAAAACAATCGTAAGCTATTTCCTTTGTTAAGAGAAAACCAAAAAAGGCAAAAACTCATCTTTTCGATCTTAAAATCTTAAATTAAGCACCAAAATTTGCTTTGCCCTGAAACTATTCCTAGGGTAGCCAATATTTTCAAGCCTTAAAGCAGCTAAAAACTTTAGAAAACATGCCGACGTCGACGCGAGCAACGCACTTATGATCCACCAGATGTTGAAGGGTATTTTGATCAGGTAAGGCGAAAAGCCAAACAAAAAATAAGCTGATCAATCACACAACTAGGCTTAGCTAACATCGTTAAGTCTTAACAATACTCATCATAAATCTACCAAATCTAAAACGTATTGGGTATTTGCGGCTAACGAGTACCCTAGATACACCCATTGCAACACTAAATCGATTCCATATAAAAATCACAGATCGTTTGGCCAGCCTATTTGGAGCATGTGCGAAACGCGATGAGCCAAGCGAGATTAGATGATCGTTTCGTATTTGTCGATGTTAGCTCCGAAAACGATAAAGCTACAGAAAAGGAGGTCTTTGAGGTAAATTCACCTAATTTACCAATTCCTAAAACTCAAAAGCTGCCATAAGCTCTATCACTTCTCGTTTAAAATTGACTCCAAAATCTCAAATCAATCGCAGGTTATTGAAGCGATCTCGCGTGATTTCATCAAAATCACAAGCCAAACTCTTGAGCTAGATGCTGCAATGAAGCTGCTTCGACTACCAAATTGCGGTGCCACCTCTATTTTCATCGGGACAACGAGGTTAGAACCAGCTAAAACAAAACTAGCCTAGAAACTATTAGCTTGGTAAATATGAAAGGTTATTTTTTACAAAAAATATTGCCCTGTCGTTACGAAGAACATTCGCTGTGTAGGTTTTCTCAATAATTGTCAAATGTGTAATGCTTTTTTGCAAAACCTTTTGTTTTGAATAATATTTGTATTGTTTCAGCTCAGCAAAGATGGATGACCAAAAATTTAAAATCAGGGCCGCCATTTTCTTTGAATTCAATTTAAACAAGAAAGCTACGGAATGCCATCAGAACATTTGTACTGTTTTTGGAGAAGCTGCTCTTACTTACAAACAATGTTGTGTTTGGTACGATCACTTCAAAACGGGAAACGAGTCATTGGAAGATGCATCACATGGAAGCCGCCGATTACTTTGGACGATCAGCTATTACTGAACGGGTCGACTTGGATCCATTGCAAAGTGTAGAAAATTAGCAGAAAAGTTCGGTGCACTCATGTTCCATTTACACGTTCTTGGGAAATCATATCGAAGCGGGAAATGGCTCCCCACGACCTCACTGTGCCCACAAAGTCACACGAGGCACCTTGAGCTCTGTTCTTCTCGTAAAGCTAGCCATCGTGCTTTTGGAAGTTTTTTGACATCTGTGAGACTTGGCTTTCGTATGAAAATATTCAACTCTTGGACAGTGGCTGGTTCGAAGCAGACCTCTCATCCTATCCCGAAGCCTCCGAAAAAGTTATGCTTTGTGTGTGGTGGATGCTAAGGGATTGGCTCATTTGGAAATATTAGATAAAGGAGACACTGTTGACGAAAGACTTTATGCAGAACAAATGGGTCGAGTCGATCCAGCATTGAGGAAAAAAGAGGATCGATCCATCGAAGGTCAGATTTCTTCACGACAATGCTAGGCCTCACATTTCAAAGATCGTCCACGAACAAATCGATAAGTTGAGCTGAAAACTTCTTCCACACCCACCATACAGCCCTGATCTAGCCCCATCGGATTACCATCTCTTTCGGTCTATGAAACAAGCAGTTCAAACAAAAGCAGGACATCGAAAATTGGGTTGCCAACTATTTTGCCTCTAAAAATCTTCAATTTTACGAGGACGGTATTCGTGATTTGGGGCGATGTTGGAAAGAAGTTATTAATGCTTGTGGTGGATACATTTGATTTTGAAAGTGTTTAAATAAGTTTTCCTGTTATGTTACAAATGATCAAAAAAGTAACCTTTCATATTTACCAAGCTAATAGAAACTAGAAACTAAAAACAACTCTAGAGACACATTCGACGGCAAAGAAGTCCTTCAACTCAGCTACGAGAGCTACGATGAAATGGCATATCCGGTAAGGAGGCTAAGAAATGAGGTTTGCAGACCACATCTAGGAGCTCCGAAAGCTTTGCTCATCAGTTCGGGCCACTTTTCCAACTGTGGAACGGCTAATCGTCTGGCATCGAGTGGGCGAAGTGCCCGTCACCGAAGCGTCAGTGATAATAGCTGCCGCAAGTCCACATCGGTAAGCTTTTCAAAGCTTGGAGCTACTCTGGGTATCAATCAGATCTGACAACCAAAGTTGAATGCACCTTCGTCCGATTGAACTAAACAAAAGTTAGTTTGTTTAGAAAAGATGCGATTCAAGCTGTCTCAATGGCAATCGACGAACTCAAAGCACGGATACCAATTTGGAAAAAGGTTTAGAGCTTCAAAATTGATCTGTAAGTAGAAATCTAGGAAAGCTATGCTGATGGAGAGCACTCGTGGAAAGAAAACGAGGAGTGGAAAGTGGGAAAAGTGAGTTATTTCTCAAAGAAAAGCCACCAAAAGCAACCAAAGTCAAACTCTAAGCAAGCAAATATTTGAAGATGACGTTAATTTTTCGATTTCAAAATGCTTTTAAGCATTGCACTTGTCTCAAATAGGCACGAAATTTTCGCGAAAACAATAGCTAATTAAATTCGTAATTCTAAATCTAATAGAACCATCAAATTTTAGCCAAAAGAGACATCATCTTCCCAGATAGCTACTTATACGAAACCCCAAGGAGATGCAAAGGTCAGTCAAATATTTGAAAAGCTTGTGAATTTTGTTACAAAGATAAAGCTAGGCACTCAGACGATTCACTCTTAAATTCTTCTTGATCTTCTCAATCTCACACCCCAAATACATACAATCTCTCACAATTTTCAGTTCTTTTGGCTTCACGAGCTGATTCAACAACTAGAACGATTACGGAAAGATTAAAAAAAGGAAAATCCCAAAGATTTCTATTGTCTGTGTGCATAAAGATTTATTTTGGTTTTTTTTGTGTTTGAAATTTCCCCACAAAACCCACCTCAAACTCAAGCTTCAGCGATGGGATGACCTCTTCTCGGAAAGCGTTAATCTCCAAATCCAGCTTCTTCTTGATCATATCCGACTCATGCGGGGCCGTCTTTGAATGCAATTCGCATTGCAAACTGTGAACCTGAACAAATACAATAGTATTTTGAAAATGCCGAAAAATTTACCTGTACAAGCAATTGTTGTGCTTCTTTGTGTCGTTCTTGGGCAACTCCTTGTGCAGTGACGAGTTCCTCGCGAAGAGCTACCGTCTAAAAGACAAACATAAGAATTTAATTTTCTTAAGCAAATATTATCTTTAATAATAAGTCCATAATCGAAGTTTGATTCGATTTAACCATTAGCAACTTAGACAGGTCCAGATCAGATAAAACAGGATTAGAGGATTGGGTTTTTTGGGCTGTTAAAACCTGCTACACTATTTTATTATTGACCCTATCAAACTAAACTTTTCACCTCAGTTTTCTGCCTTGACAACGCGTGATGCAATGTCTGCGTCTTGTGTAGAAGTTGAGCGAAACAGCTTGACAACGATGTCATTTTTCCTCTTCCCTCGTATGTGATCTCAATCTAACAATTAGATTCCTCTAGGTGATTTCTTTTAACACAACAACTAATCTAAAAGTACAGATTGACTTGACTGCTATTTTAAGCTTCAATCTCGAATTTGATTTATTCTTTTATTGTCATTCATTTGATTTTACTACCTGATCCGAGTCGACCTCTCCAAGCAGCAAATCGAGTGAGACGAAGGCTTTGTCGAAGTCCTTCTCCACCTAAACGATAAATTTTTGTTTCAAAAACTAAAGCGCAAGTCGATATCCTCGTAATCAAATCGCATACAACTTCAAAAACATAAGTCGCATCAAAAAAAACGGTACAGTCCTGTTATACATCCCCATACTTTAACAACTAACTAGGTTAAAGCTATAATATTGTTTTATCTACTTTATGCTGTGCATGCTTACCTAAAGTACCTTTGTTCTGAAATTATAACTTAAACTACGAACACTTTTTCTTGAAAGATCTGGATAGGATGCATAAAAATTGATGGGGATGTATAATAGTACCAAAGAAACCTAGAAAACCTTTAAAATCACTTTTTACCTGATCAATCCATCCCTGAATCGAAGTTCCACCACCGGGAATCGCTGACGATTGCAAATTTCCACCAGCATCCGACATCCTAAAGAAAAACATTTAGCAAAGAAAGAAAAACGACAAATAGCAATTGACCCTAAGCTCAAAAACCAAAGTTTTGCGATATTTTGTACGAAAACCATGCTTGCTGCTCGAATAATGCTTTAACAGGCTTCAAATTCTAAAACCCACCAAAATCTGTCAAGGGAACGCTTTTTTTAGAATGATTGGCTTGGGAGAGTACCTGCAAAGAAAACCTTTAAACAAATCAAAAAAGCAATGGAAAAATGCAAGAAAGTAAGCAAATAAAAGTCGATCATTTAGTAACTAAAATCTAACTAAAACTAGTAACTAAAAGTAACTAAAATCCTAAAGGTATTCATAATTTGATGGATAGAAACAAGCACAAAGCCATTTCTAAACATTTCTAACGTTTGTTTCATGCATCGGCCCACAAATTCTAGTAGTGAGATTGAAGAAAACAAAATTGTTCGAAAGCTTTGGTGAAAACCGTCAGAGCAATTGGAATAGTTGAATCGGTGAATCAAAATAGAGCAATTTGAATAGTTTTAGAAGTATCAAGGTTAAAGAAAAAGCAATATTTCGCTAAATTCCAGTAGCACTGGGCCTAGAAAAAGCGAAAATCAACATGTGGCCTTTAGGTGGGATTATCTTCAAGGCACCCATTCTAAGCCTTTCCCCTAGCCGCCAAAAAGCTCTAATTCTTTTCTTTAGTTTAAAAAACGATGAAATAAGTAAACACTGGGGTTTCGAGAAAATTTTAACAAAAAATGAAATTTTTGCGGAGGTGTTAGCAAAAGGGCTGCGTTTTTTTGGGAGTGGGACAAATGCGACCTTTTTTTTGCGCACCAGACATTTGCGCACCTTTTTTTCCGCACCTTGCCCATTAGCGCACCTTTTTTCGCGTTTTAAAAAAGCTCTAAAAAGCTAATATTAACCAATTTCTATTCGAAATGTTGTTTTTCTAGGTAATTTGAGGGTGTCGAATTCAAATTTTGACATATCAGAGCTTGTGGAACCAATTTGAAAGACAAAACGGCTAGATCAAATTACAGAAAATTGTCGATTTTTCTCTTTGTATAACTCCGTCCGTTTGTTTCCACAAGCTCAGATATGTCAAAATTTGAATTCGACACCCTCAAATTACCTAGAAAAACAACATTTCGAATAGAAATTGGTTAATATTAGCTTTTTAGAGCTTTTTTAAAACGCGAAAAAAAGTGCGCTAATGGGCAAGGTGCGGAAAAAAGGTGCGCAAATGTCCGGGTGCGCAAAAAAAGGCTGCATTTGTCCCACCCCCTTTGTTAGCACCTATTTTAGCGTCCAAACCGCCTATTTATACCGCTTGGTCATTAATTTAAAGATATTCAGCTAATTGACTGAAACGCTTACAAGGGTGAAAATATTCTGATGTTTGAATGAATTTCTTTTTCAAATGAAAACTTCTTTATATAAAAAGCATGTTGGCCAAACTCATTTCCCACTTTTCCGGATCAATGAAATGCTCGGTGTCTTCAAGTTCAGAAAAAATTCGAGAAATGAGACGGGAAACGGATCAGATTTCATTGGATTCATCCACAAACACAACTCGAAATGATCTTTTGAAGGAGAAAAGGCAATGATCTAGCTTGATTGATAGTCTTTTGAAAAACTAAAAATAAAACATCCGAATCGATCCAGCGTTTAGAAAACTGCAGGTAAAGCTCTGGTGAAGCTCTGGCTCTGAAGATTAAGATTTGGTTTTTTATCTATACAAGCAGAGTTGTGAAAAAGGTGGGTAGATCAAGATTGGAAATAGGATAGGAGCCAAATAGCGCAGTAGTTATAGTAGCTACCGTAAATACTGTAATAGTACCCCACTCCCCTCGTACAGTTGCGTAGTCGCAAAAGTTTTTTCAGTATTTTTAGTATTTCATTTTTTTCAAAGCACCCGTACTTTCAAAAAATGTGTCTTTGGTATCAAAAAATAGCTGAAATTCAGGGCTATTTTTTGATACCTAAATGAGCATTGTAGCATAAACCAGTGCCGAGAAACACTCGTTCAAAGCTAGACTACGCGATGCTCCGGCCGTCATTATAAAAGCATGACGAGAAAAATGTGTTTAAAGTTAGACTAGCTAGTCTAGCTTTGAACGAGTTTTTCTCGACACTGGTTTATGCTACAATGTGCGCTTAGGTATCAAAAAATAGCCCTGAATTTCAGCTATTTTTTCATACCTAAACGCGCATTGTAGCATAAACCAGTGTCGAGAAAAACGCGTTCAAAGTTAGACTACGCGATGCTCCGGCCGTCATTATGTACTATTACAGTATTTACGGTATGTTCTAAGTTAAATGGATGGATAATGTTCAGCAAATAAAAATAGACAGATTTTATGAAAACCTAGAAGAAAGCGAGTTTTCAAAGAATTAGAAAGATCATCAAATGACTCAAATCTTGAAGTAAAGCAAAATCCCAGAAAAAAAACGGATTTCCCAGCTTCACACCTCGATTTTCAAGCGGAGAAGGCCCAAAATTTTCCGGAAAAGAAAGCGAAAAGGAGAATTTCTTCCATTTTTCCCCAAAAAGCCTTTCCCTTTCCTCCTCACACCAAATTTAGTTATCTAAAGACACCGGGCATCTTTTTGAATAAAAGAAAAGAGTGAAGACGTGGAGAAAAGAGACAAATGAAAGGAGGATATGTGTAATAGAAATATATTAGTTTGGTTGTTGGTTGTAGATAAGTTACTGGCTCACAGAGATTACGATAGCTAGGATCGGCCTCACAGAGATTACGATAGCTAGGATCGGCCTCACAGAGATTATGATAGCTAGGATCGGCCTCACAGGGATTATGATAGCTAGGATCGGCCTCACAGGGATGATGATAGCTAGGATCGGCCTCACAGGGATTACGATAGCTAGGATCGGCCTCAATCAAGTTCTCCATCATTTAAAGGCTTTAATCCTTTCAAGAAAAACGTTTCGAAGAGTTACCGTACCATTTTCTCTATTTATTTCACTTAGAAAGTGATTTAATAAAGCAAAAATGAAAAAAATTGATAAAAATGAATTGTTGAATGAAATGAAAAGTGAAAAATGAAAATAAAATGAAAATAAAAAGCCATGTAATGCTAAAATTGAATGCTAAAATTGAGATATGCATGACTGATCCGTTGATGAATTCGATCGCTTGAAAATTTTAATTGAAACCTTTAAGTGAAAGAAAAAAAGAATTTTTTCCATTTCATTTGACAGAAAACTCTCAAAAACTCTCAAAAAAAAGGTCAAATCTTTGCAAAATCTATAGAAGTGTTTGACTTGAGGGAAAAGATTTGAAAATTTTGAAAAGAAATAGGGAAAGAGAGCCGGATTTCAGTGATATGTGAGTCCCTGGGGATTCAGTTTGAGGTCCCGATCCTAAAGCTAGTGAAAATCGTGTAACTCTGGAAGGAACAACAAATTTTAAGGGGAGATTTTAAAAGCGCAGGGCTGAGACTAAAAAAATTGGGTTAATCGAATGAAAAATAGTGGCTTGATTACGAGAATTTTCTAAAAAAACGCTTAGGAATCTAATAGTTGTTTGATATCATTTCCCAAAGATTATTTATTTGTTAACTTTGTTAACTTGTTACTAACTGTTAACTTTACTTTTTGTTTATTTTGTTTATTTGTTAAGTTAGCACAGATGTGTTTTCTAAAGTGTGGACCTCCTACCGTACCCCTATTTGTCCACCATTTCACAGCGCCATCTTTTTCGTCAATTCATTTGGTCCAATTTTCTCTTTGGTCAATCAAAGGCCGTAGAGCTTCGAAAATATTTCCATATAAGGGAATCGTATGCGTAGATTCCTAATTTCGACAAATCAGATTTCACTGACACGTCAAATATGGGCTAAAAGGCAAAAACTGCGGAAAAGGGTTAAGTTGCGTAGTTTTTGCCTTTTAGCCCAAATTTGACATGTCAGCAAGGTCTGATTTGTCGAAATTCAGAATCTACGCATACGATTCCCCTATGCGGAAACATTTTTGAAGCTCTACGGCCTTTTCAAGCGAAAAAAAGGTAGCATTTGTCCCACCCCCAATTTTTATCAAATCAATTCGTTGTTGAGCTTTTGTTTTAAAAGAATTCCTCAATATTTCATCTTTTTTTTGTTAAATTGTTAAATCAACTTCATCAACTAATAAAATTCTATCATCAACATCAACATCAACAGCATCAGCATCAACATCAACATCAGCATCAACATCATCAACATCAGCATCATCAACATCAGCATCATCAACATCAACATCAGCATCAACATCAACATCAGCATCGGCATCAACATCATCAACAACAACATCAACACCAACATCAACATCATCAACAAGGCTATCAAAGAAACACGTACGTATACAACCAGGCCGGCAGCCGGCAAAAAAATTGGAGTCCCTACCAGCTCTTACCCCCGGTCGGCAGCCACCACAATTTTTCTGTTTTCGTGTTGTGCAATTATTCAAATTTTGGACAGCGATAGTAAAAAGGCAGATACTTGAAGAGAAATGTAAAAATGCGAAGCTCGCAAAGTTTAGGATTAATGCTAGAACAATCTCCCCGAATTTATCAAGTTTTCCGAGTGGTCAAGCTCTCCTGATCTTAACCTTTTGATTACTTCATCTGGAGCGTTTTGGAAGCAAAAGTTTGCTTAAAGCAGCACAAAGACATCATTTCCTTTGAAGAAACCGACTGAGATGAGTTGGTTACAGCCTCACAACGGTCAATGCGTTCCCGAAACGATTTAAGGCCTGCATTAACGCTCAAGGCTTCCATTTGAGGCTTCCATTTTGAAGTTCATTCATTTCTTTTGTTGAAAAATTAATAGAAATTGTTATTTTACTGTTACTTAACTATTTTTAAATTGGTTGATTCCAGTAAATGGTGAGTTGCTTATAATTTTGGACCTTATAATTATAATTCTGGCTTATTAAAGCTTATAATTCTGGACCCTATACAACAAAAAGCCCCACTTAAAATCTCAGCAATTATCCTAAACTGCAAACTACCACAGAGAAAGCTCAAAACTCATCAAAAATAGTAAAAGCACAAAGATAACAAGTGACGGGTATAGCGGGAATCTACAAAATATTCTAGTAACACTTTCTAGTAACATTTTCCTTCTCACCACTCATTGCCACTTGTTGCTGGAGGTCCACT